AGCAAGGTTGATTGCAATAATTACTTGTTTACTATATTCGTCGAGCGCGCGCACAATATATTAAATACACGATTTCGCGTGTCTGTGTAGTAGGTACCAATATAATATTTATTATTACTTATACACGTATAAATATAATAATATCGTGGTATTTCAAACAGTTTTTTTTTTCGTCCGGTCGAATTTCGTATGCGATAATCGTGCGTTCTCTCTTTTTTTTCTTTTTTTTTTTTTTTGTACATAGGTAACCGTGTAAAAAATTCCGCGTTATACCATAGATAAACCAAAAAAATCGGAAATAATAACATTGTTACTTGTAATTTTGCAGTTTATTGTATAAATGTAATAAATTATTCAACGAAAGATGATAATTTATAATATTCGTAACAAGGTTGAATATTATATAAACAGTACACTTTATTGTGCGAACAACCAACCATAATAATAATAATAATAATACCATAATAGTTAATGAATACGTATAAAATACATTCGTTGTGTACCGAATCTCGTACGTCGTGTTATCATATACTTACACATTTCTTAGTAATGATTCGTCATTAGACAAAATGAGAGAAAATAGACCGAGATGGTTTGGGCATATCACGTGGAGAAAGTAATCGGAAGCAGGAAAATGTGTAATGAAAATAAACGTAAAAAAAAAAAAGAGGCAGAAAAGGTGCGCAAAAAAGACGGTTGAATACAATTGAGAATGATATTATGAGGAGAGAGCCGGTGTACGAGAGGTAAAAGGTCGGGTCATGTAGGAGTTAAAGGCGAGAGCGGCCGACTCCGAATAGTCGTGATGAAGACGAAGGAGACGGAAGGAGACACATTTTTGAATATTTTTAAAAAATTTATTTACAGCGGGTCCGGTCTACAACAATAACGAATTGTTAGTTAATGAATAACTAGTTCTGATAATATCGATAATATCGATAAATGTGATATAGTTCTCCAACATCCCTACGAATTTTATTAAAATTACTTATTAGTTATTACCCGATGGCATCGATTTCCTTAAAAATATATTCGGGTGAAATAAATTTCAATAGTAGATTTTTATTTTGTTAATAAATTATTCAATCGGCTTGGCCACCAAATTTTGGCCGAAATGAAGCGGCCCTGTGGTTGATATTTAAAATAAATCGGGACAAGGCCCAACCGAAACATGCAGTTCGGAACCACATACCTACACATACTTATTCAGTGGCGTGCGCAGAGGACGAATTTAGAGATATCGTGTATCCGTCCACATTGTCTTAAACAAATACAACAAATATCGAGCGTTTATTTGACTATTTCATCTCGAATAATTGTTTAATCGCGCAAAATCACGAGAAAAAAAACTCGATTTATTAAAATACTCAAATTGACTTTATTTTGGACCCGGCTATTAAATTTTCGGTGTCGGTTTATGTACGAATATTATTCATAAATCGTGATTATTGTTTACTACATCCTCTCACATTGGTGATTCCTGGGCACGCCGCCGTTTTTACCTATACACTAACACGTAAAACGGACCTATATATTTATTAAACAACAGTGTGATCGTCTATCGCGATTTTTCAACCCTGGTAAGGTGAGCGTTGAGAGAGGGTTCTGAGTTTTAAGCAGGTGTTGTTAAAATTTTATTTTCGTCAAATTTCTCATACATCCAAAGACACGAACGTTATTTTTGGTATACAAATACGGGTCAATCGTGTTCTACTTTGATTTGGAAATACACAATTTCGTAAAAAAAAAAAAAGAATATCCGTATTATATGCAATATGTACAACGCGGGACGTAATAATATAGTGCCGATAAAATTCGTAACGGTTTTCTCAATGATCCTACCAAGTGTTCGCTTTGCGTAGTTATCGACAATTTGACAGCTCTTCTTCAATTTCCTCCCTCTGGCTACCCCCTTCTCCTAAATAGTGATGAGGTCTGCGCGTGGCTACGGCCTACGCACCGTAGTGTGTTTTAGGCGCGCGAATGTGTGAACAGAAAAAAAACAATTATTATTACTACGCCGACCTATGTGTACGTGTACGCACGCACTGCGAATGTATAATATTATTAAAAAACGCATTATTATTGTTTCTACGGTGATTACGATAATAATCGTACGTATAGCGACGGACGTATGAAAATCGCGGCGAAATTTAACGAATTGAGAACGGGGGTTTTTTTTTTTTTTTTCATAGTTATAAACAAAATACCGTTGCTATAACATGCGGATTGTACGGAACATACGAATTGTTGAAACATATTTTTCGACCGACTCGGGTTAAATAATCGAATCATGTTAGCGCCGGGTTACGTGAAATTTTACACTGTCTATCGGTTCTGTAAAATTAATATAATCATAATATTTCAAAATATTCTGTAGACAATCTCCTATAATTTTTAGTACCACGTAAAAAAAAAAAAAAAAGTTAATTTAAGTCCCCCGTTACTAATTAAAAATACGATTTATTACTTACTATTCAAACTTTAAACACAATTAGTCACTAGACTTGTAATTGAATTTTCGTTTGTTTTGTACAATTATTAACTAATATACATAATACATATTGCATTCGGCATTCCTATTCAAAGGATAGAATTTTCGTGAAACGAAATCTGTTCAATAACCGTAATTTTACAGAACCTATAAATATTATCAAACAAACATTACACGGAACTATTACACGACTCCCTGTTATGGAAGGCTAAACAATTGCATAAAGGGACACGTATATAAATTTTAATCTGGCGTGGTAAACTAGTGATAAACGAAGTGATCCTATAAGCCAACAAAAGAAAAATGCTTTTCGAACCGCGGTAATCCGCCACCTGCCAGAAGTGTGCCACACTGTGGGTTTGCAGTGTCCAAAAGGTTGCGAAACACCGGACACTATGTGTATATTCGATACTTGAAGTACGTTTGTTTTGTTATTCCCGCGGTCGTCGTCAATACTCCGTGGATTTATGGAATTTTCAATATAGGTCGCCATTTGAAAATCAAAAGTAGAGATAGCGGTTTCACCCGCGAAAGGAATCACGAAAAATTAAATAAATGGCAAATTAACATTGTAGAATGGCATATTACAATTTCCGAAAATACGAATTCCGATCAAAACCAATGTATTTCGAGTGTTGTACGACTGCAAACGGATCGCGTTGTACAAAAATATATCGTGCAATTATTTACACGAATTATGCCGTAGCGATTTAGCAAAGTTATATTTTAATTGTAAACAATCAACAATCTTTTGTGTTTTGAGTTGACGTTTTCGTGATAGTATAGATACAAAATTTTATAGTTTATACAAATTATCATTTTTTTTTTTTTTTTTTTGTGTACATTTTATATTTGTTACCTGTCTACATCGTATAATACATAATTATATCAGCTACGTGGGTATACCCACGGACAAGGCCGGGCGATTCAGTGAATAGTGTAATAATAACCGAGTTCAATCGTGTTGATCGAAAAAATAATAAACGGGTCGACGAGTCAACAATTAATTGTTGTTGAAATCAACTAATTTAAGTTTGAAAATGTACGCACGATTAACTTTACGTGCACAGTTTTGCTGACGAAACGTAAATAAAATTAATTCGAATGAAAATTAAGCGTGGTTAAAAAAAAACCGCGAACGTATTCGGAGATGGGGATCGTTCAATCAATTTTCCAGTAATTTAACCGGAAAATTAATTTTTATCCGTGATCGAAATAGATAACGAATACAATTACGACTGTATAATCGTTTCACTAAATTACATACATAACACTATGTTCGTTTAAAATATCGGGTTATTTTATTATTATTATTTTTTTTTTTTTTTCGAACGCGGGTCCTTATATTATTACGTTCCTATATACTGACAAAGTGACAAACCGTAATCGACGTGTTTAATCATGGCCTACGACTTGCACGCACAACGCCGCTAATCGTGATTATTTCAATTTATTATTATTACGGCAAATATGTTTCGGGATCTATGATAGTGACGCGATTGCCACTCTCGAACTCGTTCGGATAAACGCGTCGCACGGATTAGCCCGCGTTCGGATTGACGAGACCCGATTGCCTTATCGGCCCGCTAACGGCCGGCCCTTTAAGGGAGTAATAGTTTTCGGTTCGCGGACATGATGATTTCGAATCGAAAAACCCTCAGGTCTGTTTTACACATGACCTGATAACCCGTCGAAGCGCGCGACAGATAACAGCCGGGTATGGGCTATATTTTATCTCGTCTGTTAAACATTTTTTTATTTACCTGCTAAATAACATTTCAAATGTATTACGGCGAACGGTTGTGTTGTTTACCGAAAATATGTTTTTAAAAGAAAAAAAACAAGCCGACGGCGGTAAGTATAGGAGGAGGGAGCATAGGATGAGATGTCAAATCGCAATCCGCGACGGTGAATCGTTGAAATTTCTAAAAAAAAAAAAGTACAATAATAATAATAATAATGATAACAATTATTACGGGATGAATTTTTCGTCAAAATTTCAACGGGGAAAACAACGTTTTGACCGGCAGCAATGGAAATGTTGACGAACCTCGGATTGAACTTCCGAGCGTTTCTATGTGCGCGGACAAAAAAATAATTCAGTGGAAATATCGTACTGCGTCTGCGGAAAAAACTAACACCACAATAGCCCGTGAATCCGCGGACATTTATAAAATTAAAAAAAAAAATAAATAAATAAACTAAAAGATACTATTTTTTATTTACAACGTACAGGTAAAAAAAAATTAAAAAAAAAGAAATAAAAAAATTATACCTAGGTTTATCTAAACGGAACCGGCTGGATAACGCGCGGCGGAACGCTATACGCCGTTTAGAACATAACAGGTAACCGCGTGTTGCGCAAATGATATACACACGAATATAGGTAAATATATTTCGTGTATACATAACAATATACACGAAAATGGTTTTTTTTTTTGATTTTAAACTGCAATGTTATAATATTGTTTTACATAATATAATGTTTCGGGCGGGCCACTCGCCGTCACTCTACGGCCGGATCCCGTCCGTTCATAAAATCGACGATCTCCTGGCGATTGTGTTCCGTGCCGTAAATCTCCATTATCCGCTCAAAGTCCGACCGCCGGGTGTTGTAGATATGCGTCAAGACCTGCCGGGCCATTTGTTTTTGTCTGGGCGAACAGTTTGAGCACACGGTCCGTATCACTTCGGGCAACAGGTTGGCTGTGAGGACGACACACGCAAAAAAAAAAAAAAAAAATACAAGCGATTATAGTCAATGACGGATTTTTTGTTTTTTTTTTTCCATTAATTCAGTGTTCGTCTGTTAGGGCGGACCGAAAAACAATTTTCGTTCTTGCCGCGTTCGTGTCTTCATTTATTTTCATTCGTACGCATGCTTGACAATATAACGTCGAATCGCATTTCACCAGAAAAAGAAAACGTTTTCCCCGTTAACGAGCGGTAGACGTATTTTATTTTCATAACGGTTTAATGCCGAACAAAAAAAAATAAAACCATCAGAATGTAATACGTAGGGCTCGGGACTTATTCCACTTAAAAATTCACGAAACACGAAAAAACGATTAAAAACGTCAAAAAAAAACCCTGAACAAAAGCACTTCGAACGAATTTAAGAACAAATGGTACTTCTACACTTCGGTTTATTGGCTAACGACTCTAACTTATTAAACACAATTTTTTAAACAGATACAGAAATGATTAAGAAAAAATAATTTTGTTAAAAAAAAAATTGTATGTATTATAAAAAAAAAAATTAATTTTACAACATTTGTACATTTTTACGTTTCGCGGCTAATAACTTTAACAACATTGATTTATTTTTCATCAACTATACATAATATAAGGCTTTAAGTGTTTCTTATTACATTCGGATTATGTACGTTCATGCCGTTTTTTATTCAGCGAGAGCTAAAACTGTACAAACAAATTAAATACATACACATAAAATCGATGTTGTCAAACTGGACAATTTTGTATTGCTTTTTTTCATGAAATGAGATTCGATGGTATTGTCACGCTAGTATTTGTATTCGAATCTAAAAAAACCGCCCTATTATGTACTATTCGGATCCCTAAACAACCTCGACGTCTCTGCCATATAGAATCCGATAAAATTGTTTAGCATTTTAGCGCTTGCCATAAATGAAACTGCGAATCCCGGGTGACAATTTTAAAAAGGACTTTTGCCGCGTTCGAAACATTCGAATTTAATCAACGTAAACTTAACGGGGAATTTACTCGTTTCATTTTCCCGCCAATCCCCCCCTTTCTTCTTTGTATATTATTTCCGGCATTTCCGTCACACTGGCACGCGCTCCTTCGACGGATCATCCTTGACGACAGCTGTCGTTGACGGTGACACGCCCAAGGAGGAGGTTAGGGCTATAATGCCTCTATCCCCGTCAGTGGCGTGCCCAGGAATTTTCAATAGGAGGGGATGCAGCAGATAAAAATCCTGAATAAAGAGTAAAATCGTCTTCTTTACTCAACTCGAATATGGGAATTGGTAATTTAAAAGCCGGATCCAAAAAACGTCAATTTTTAATCAATACGAGTATATCAAGCTTTTCCTTGGAAATCGTCTGAAATTTATGAGTTTCGATATTTGATTACTCATATTTTGTTTTATTTTCAAACCAACGGAAGGGGGATATAAACCATAACCTCCCCTCTCTTGCGCACGCCACTGTTCCCCGTTCGTATAAACATACAACGTTACCCTGAAATTGTATAATATTTCGGCCGAGTAATGTGTGGAAAAATTCTACGGCTTTATCGATTAAAACCGGCTCTTTTTAGATTCGGGTCTTCGGGTCAGATATAACGGCTTTTCTACGGTTCAGTCGTATTTAATCGATTTCTATACGTCCCCTCCCGGTCGAAAATTCCTGGGCGCGCCACTAAAATCATCGATTACCTTTGAATTGTCTGCCTTCCCTCGTGCACGAACCCTTGTTCAGGAAACAATCGATGTACGCGGTTACCAGCTTGTCGTTTTTCAGCAGGTGATTCACGTCCAAGTGATCGTATCCGGACGTGTACGAACCGGAATCCGTGACAAACTGCTGCGGTGGATGCGCCAGTATGGCCGCGGATTCCAGGGCGGGTTTCTTGCACCGAACGGTCATGACGGCCACCGACAAGAGACACATTAGTACCGATCCCAGACGTAAATTTTTGCTGGCGGCTGAGGCCATTTCGTACGTGACGATGACGGGCGAGAAAACGAATCTGACGAGCGGCTCCCGGATGATATTCTGACGGTCGGAAAGCCGCGGCTGAGATGATTTCGCGGTGCCCAGCGGTTTATATGCTGCGGACGAACGTGAAAATTCGTTCGTTTTAACGATAACACAAAACACAGACACAAAGAAGAAGACAAATCCACTCTCGGTTGATGATATTGTTAGTTGTTTATATTATACTACGGATCGTGCGACTTTGGTCCGCGCAATCGTTACGAAATACCGCGGCGGTTGTTGTTGTTTCGTTTCTTTTTGTTTCTGTTGGATTTCGAGATTAAAGCGCGTCCGGCACAATAACAGGTACCCGCCATAAATAAATATTATTGCAAGAGACCGTCCGCAGGCACAGTCGCGCGGTTCGTGTCGAATTCACGGTCGCCGAAAACCCGAAGTGTCAAAGACCGTGCGGCGCGATACGTGCGTACGACCAAAACAGACGGAAACCGCTGAAAAGAAATTTGTGACATTTTTATTTTATTAATTAATTAATTTTTTTTTTTTTTTTTTTTTTGTACCGGCCGCTCGTTGTCGACGCGAACTGCAGCTGCGGTATAAAACAGTAGCTACACAAAGTGATCGATCTACTGTAAGGCAATCGTTATCTCGGAAAGTATTAACTTTCTTCGGAATCTGTTTTATAGCAGCTCTATAATTTTAAATTTATGTTATTTTTTGTCACCCTTTTTTTTGGGGGGGGGGGGGGCAAAACCACTACCTACTTTTGATTTTAAAATGGCAACCTATTTTAAAAACTCCATAAACAATATTAAAATGCCACGGACCGTGCCGTCACACAAACGATGCTCCACTACTCTCTCCCGACCGAAATTTATGAGTGGAATATCTCGTCAATAGATTGACGGAAATCTGAAATTTCAACAACAAAATTTATGTTGACTCCATCGGTTAAAGGAATTTTCAACATAGGTTACCGTTTAAAAATCAAAAGTAAGTTGTGATTTTACCTCCCAAAAATAAGGGTGACAAAAAATAACATAAAAGTGAAATTGTAGAGCTGCTTTTTTGCTATTGTATTTACTTACGAATTTATTTCACCTATTTTCCGACGGGTGTGGTATATTGTATATTCGTGCATTATGATATGTCAAGGACCACTGGTGTATTTCACTCTAGACAGTTTTAGGAAGAATTAGTACAAAAAAAAAAAAGATACTTTTGAGGGCAACTGGTATACGCCCGAAATTTCTGAAAACTTATATTTTCGAAATATTTGATTTTGTTGAAAAATGAAAAAAAATAAAAATAAAACTCGAATAATAGCTATGGCAAACATCTATACTGATTACTGAATGCTGCAATGAATTGCCCGTAGCTCTTTGAAAACTGTTATCGACGAATTAAAAACATCTACCTTCGATATCTTCAAATATTACAATCAGTTTTAATTGTTCGCATTGTAGATATTTTGTAGATAATTTGCACAAAGTCAATTTGAATAGCGAATGTAACATTTATGAGGCAGGACTTAAATTTTAAAAAAAAAATTATCGTTTTTATATTTTCGGTTATTTAAATGTTACACAATTGTAATTTTTAAGTCCATTTTCTTTTTTACGTTTAAGGTATTATTGTGTATTTAAACGTTATTTAACGGTATAAATAAATTGGAAATTGTACAATATTTTTGTTTTAATTCTACTCTCATTTTTCACATAACCGATGCAGTAATACAAAAAATAAAGAATAAAAAGAAAAATACAAAAATATATTGTAAAAACGGATAGTCTCTATGTAATAACTCAAAACAGGAATAGGTCTTATTAGTTATAAAATCCTCTCTTTATTTGTAGTAACACAAAGAATAAATAATTATTAAGTATATCAAAATTTCAGCTTACTAATTATATCACTGCCTTCCCTCAGATGTTTGGAAGGATTCGGATTCGTAAATACAGTACCTATATAAATTAAATAGGTAAATAAGGTAAATAGGAGGTACCTATGGAAATTTTATTATAAAAACAACGAAAAAAAAAAAATTAAATAATTATAGTGAATAAAATATACTTATCTATTATAGAGTATTATGAAATAAAGATAAACTGTTGACTAATAGATGGAATATTGTTAGAATAAAAGACAATGCGTTGGATAGGTAAATTACGAAATATCTGCAACTGTCAACTAGGGATAATACAATTCGAAATGACATATTTATTCTTTACACCGAACCACATCGATTAAATTGAACATAAACAAGATAAAGTAATGAGATTACAGGAATAAACTAATATACATACTAAAGCCGAGTTCACACGGAGCGAAATTTAAATGGAGTGAATCACTCCAAAATGCTAGAGTAATGTCACCCAGTTTATGATTCCGAGTGAACCATAATTTGTATATTTTAAAAACAAAACTACAACAAAATATTTCGGAAAATATAATTTATTTTTAGCACGGGTTAGCCAACTTTGAATCGTTAATATTGATATAGTTATATAAAGTAAAAGGTTTTACGTATAGACATAACAAAAAAAAATACTTAAATTATTCCGAATAACATTATTTGCAATTATTTTTTTAGATTATAGTTACGTTAATTGTTTATTATTAACCATTAATAAATTATGGTCAATGACATATGTATTATGTTTAATGGCATTTGATTTTTTTCGTTTATTTCCTGCATATAGACTTTGTCTATTTTTCTTCTTTATACCGTCATAAATAACGTGTTGAAACCCTGGTTTAAAATTTAAAATTAATCCATAATTGCAATTGTTATAACAGTTATATGACTTTCTGGAATATAATGGCACACCAAACCAAAATATAACTAATATTTGGAAAAAAATGTATTTTTCAATATGTATTTTTTACTCATAACCCTGCCTATACTTAATGCTATACTTTAATACTTGTATAATATTTACAGGTTGATTCCATTATAATACGATTGTCAATTGTTTACCCCTACTCCTTACAGCTAAAATTAGTATCTATTTTAGATTTTTGGATAGCCGACCTTTCCTTTTAAATCACAAATTCAAATAGAGGATATTTTTCTGGAAATTACGATACGCATAACACTAAAAACCGATTTACTATTTATAAGTCATAACAGTTTTAAATCCTTATAAAATAAATATAGCCTATATAATACTATAGAGTGGTAAAACCTCTGTGAACCTTTGTTTCAAGTTTCTCACGACCTATCGGTTTTGGTTTGGGCGATAAGTTCAGGATATTTTGTGTACCTTACAATAATAATACCTTATAATACGTAAATATTATTATTATTTTAGGCGGTATACATTTCCGATTTCCCACGTAAAACAGTTGTCTACTCGTGGTGCGAAGTTTATTGTTTTTTCGTTTTTTTTTTTGCAAGAATATTGTAATCGATCTCGTAATTTTCCGATTGTATTCATAAAAAACTATAGTACACAAGCTGGTATACAAGAATACAAGATTGCCTATAATTTGATTTGTTTATTTTATTAGTTGACCTACAGACAAACTGGTAATTTGTATAATGAGTTGTAGTTTTAGTAGCAATAAGTTATGTTAATGTCGCAGTGACCCTGCGATGTGAATATATTTTATTCAAAATATACCTAATCCGTTTCACGAAAAAAAAAAAAATGTTTAAAAACTAACATAACATATTATTGATATTTATGTATATCAGCGTAAGTTTGTATACGGATATTATAATGTTATTACAATGCATTAATATCCAATGAAAAACATTTGCATTTCGTATGTACCTATATACGCGTATACGTCTTACGCTAAGGAAAGAAAGATAATATTATGATAATTTCTGTAGCCATTCGTTATTATAATGGCATTAATAATTAATATTGTAATTAATCGAGTGATCGGACGAGGATATACTGCAATGGTGCCGCGTTTACCTACCGGGTAAGTACGTATATGCGGAAAGTATATTACGGACAGTAATGCGTCATATCCAGTTTATATGGATTAATCTTTTATTTTTATCTTTTATCTTATCGGAATGAGTGAGAAATAAGATATACGAGCCGTTATCCGAGATAAATAATTAATTTATCTGGATAACTCTTATTAAACCATAATTTGTAGATGTATTCAAAATTGCAGAGCTTGCGCTAACGTACAGCTGTACAAAATATGTGCAGTTCGTAAAAAATACTAGTTTCGAATTTTTAATTCTAAATGTCTATAGTCTATGAGCTTATAACATAGGTACTATTTGACATTTGTTTTCCGAAATTATTAGAAATTATGATTAAAACATCGATAAGAAATTAATATTTCCAAGATATCAACAGCAGTTACAGTCAGATGATTTAAATATAATTTCAATAGAAGAGAGAACAAAAAAAGTCATCAATAAAAATCGAAACATTAAAATCCAGCTCACTAATAGGTTGATGGGTAATGGCTTTAGATAATCAGTTGAAAACTGATGAAGGTGGATCAATTAAACTAAATTCAATCGGCATAGTAAAAATGAGTACTCAACGTCAATCTCATCATAAGTTCACAATCTCTCGCGTAGAATGCCCATCGTGGTATGCATTGTGTGTCCCGTAACGCTGTCCTGTCGGAACCACATGTCATCGGTATCCGATGATTTAGTTTAAGCCACAAGAAATCTGTTATCATCGAAATGTAACGCTCATTGTTGACGATTATGACAATGCCTATTTCGTTTTGGAGGAAGTACGGACAGATTATTCCACCAGTTCAAAATACGCACAAAACAGTAACTTAAACGGGATGCATTTGGTACTGATATATCTCGTACGGATTGATTACGTTTCAAGTTCGACAAGTTTGTTTAAATATACATTCATCCAAAAATGGGCCTCGCTGCTAAAGATTATTTTTTTGGCGACATTCGAAATTTAGTTTCTTGAACGAAACACTGATTTCGATAATAAAAGTTAATAATTTGCACACGTTTTACAACGCTACAACCTTCTACAGTGATTTGCCATACACTATTGAACAGTGAACATTCAACAGTTCACAATAAATTTGACAGATAACGCTCAAACAACATAGCCGCTACCGCTGATTAAAGTTCGAGCATCTCTATTGAAAGGGCCGTTATTGGCCTTTTTTCCTATAATTTTTTTTTCCGGTTTTTTGCAATTATTATGAAAACCCCTTGGATGCTTTTAAATTCTGAGCGGAGCAAGGAATGTATTAGTTTTAAAATTACGTTTATTTTTTTTATGAACACTTTTTCTACCAAAAGGCTTACTCCCATTATCAAGTATAGCATCTTTTCTGAAAGGAAATGTTCTCTGGACGGTACTTTAAATAGATAATTTGCTTTTAATTCTCATTAATATTTGAGATAATGAGAAATACCTGGCTCCTTAAGTTAAAAAAGATTGAAAGATTGAAAATAAGGTTGTCACTGGCAACCGTTTTTTTTTTTTTTTTTGTTATTATTCAGTTTTTTATTTTATTATTATTATCCTTATTATTTTTATCTTTTTTAATTAAACATTGTTGTCATGGAAATGTACATTGTTGACAAAATAATATTTTAGACCGGGCTATATTAAAATAAAATACGATGTTCATCAAAATTTGATTTTGAAACTCTTAGGAAAATAAAAAACAACTATATTACACTCAATTTTTTTAGGCCACAAAGAACCGTAATGAACCTCCCGTAAAATTATCAAGCATTTCTAGTAGAAAAATTGTTCACTGTTCACAGAAAGGAAAAATTCACACACATCGTATAGTAAAACAAAATGCTCCGAATATAATACTTACGAGACACTATGCATACTACATAGACAATTAACATAGATACTTAATACATATAATTACTTATTTTATAACCTTGAAGTTCGTTTTTGAACTATTTCCTTAGTTTCCATATTTCATATAATTGTATTAATTTTTCACGGTCGTAACTTATATTGTAGCTATAATTTATATATGTAAACTATATCTAATATATACCATAAAGTAAGAATATACTAATCAATTATATGTTTTAACGAAATTATATTACAATAAATTATTTTTATAGTATCATGTTGTTAATATTTTGTCTACGTCGTGTTTAGGACTTATGATAATTGTACAACTTAAATTTTCGCGAGTAAAATAGCTGTTATATTTGACCAATCACTACGGAGTTTTAGTTTTAGATAAATTGATCAAATATTTAATCGTCTGAACTATTTTTTAGACAAATGTTCAAAGTTTAGCCTTCGCCAAATATTTTATCGTGTGAACCGTGCTTTAGAACAACAACACCGGAGTCGTTTTCAAGATGTTTTATTGGGGAGGGGGGATATAAAAAGTAATAAAAAATAATATTTCCTATATAAAAAAACAACACATATTAAATTATAGTATATTATATATGGTTGATTAAAACATTGAATTTATAAAATTATATCAATTTATCTTAATTTTTGAGCTCGTGCATCAAGAACTTCTTGGGACTTTACTATTAAGACACTTCTAAAAATGTATAACAATAACAATTTTATAAATAGTCATTTTCGCATATTGCTTTTATATTAAAACTACAACATTGGTAATTAGTATTATAATATAATTATTGAACTAAGTAATTAGTAAATTATTTTTTTTTTGTTTTAGCTTCAGCTAGGAGAGCGGATCATTTTGGGCGGGTGGATGTTCCCAATAAGTTTGATTTGGGATAGTTGGATAGAATACTCAGATCATATACAATGGGTAGAGCTATGACTATAGCTCATGTGAAACGAGTGTGTCGCTAACATATCAAGAGGGCGTGTAGCTACTGTGCATGAGTCGCCCTATTCATTATACCATTAAAACCTTTAAGTATTGGATATTCAGATGTATACATAGAGTTATATAGAGTTATATACTTCTAACTCTATTATATACTTTATACTATTAGTACCTAGTAGGTATATGATCGAAGGTAATGTATTACAACTCTGTGATATTTTATTAGGTATTTTGTGATAAGACTGATTACAGTACTTCAGGCATGCGCAAAAGTAGGATGCCCTCTTGAAATTATGATGGCGACAAGTTTTATTTCTTATAGCTCTATCCATTGAACATGATCTAAGGTGGAACGTATTAAAATATTCAAAAGTTATACTTTTTAGTTTTTTGATGTAGTAAAATGAAGACACAAAAGTTTATGAAGTGGGTGGTTTTTTTGAATTTTTAAATACATACATCAAAAATATTGAATAGAACAAAAGTTAATGCATTTGTCGAGTTCTCGTGGACGACCAATATCACATTTACAAAAACATATTTATTTATTATTGCTATTATACCTGAGCCATCTATATATGCGATAGTAGTCATTGGAAGACTTCTGAACTTGTTTAAGACGTATTCCATGTACGTAGACATCGCATACCCCATGACCGGGTTGTGCATTTCCTTTTTAATTTTCATGTCGCTCCCGGAACAGACATTTCCATTACTGCCATACAGTATTATTCCTTTGTAATCGGCCGAGTAGTCATCCAATTTATCAACGATTTTGCCCAAGTCAATCATCATACTCCCTTGAATCATAGTAGACAACTTATAATTATTATTATGTAATCTATAGTGAAATGTGTATTCTTAAACAATACAACGTGTGTTGTATATTTATATCAATAATGATGTTTTAATAGCAATAAAGTTATAAAGTATAATATATGAGACGTGATAAACTAATTAACATCGCAGTAGTGAACATAGGTGAACCTAATTAATCAATTTATTTTATTTTTGTCTATTAATCTAACTAATATTACCTAAAAAATCATAGATATCAAGGCCACGCGACTGGTTCAGAAAATATTTATTTGGTAATGAAAAATTAAAAAAAAAAAAGACGTCCTAGAAACCTAGGTCAGGTGTAGCCACTGTTCTAGATAATTCAATATATATCTGTAAGCAACGATAAAACATTGCTAACGAAAAAATGATTCTAAGCGCAGTTCAATTAATAGTCATGCTTTGTCAATAATATATAATATATACCCAAAAGTACTATTTAAACCACATTTCCTTTTAGAAATGTTGCCGCACGTATATATCTAAGCAAGATTTATAGTCGAATTTTTGGAAAAAGTAAAAAAAATAAATAAATAAACATCTTATTAACACCAATACATTCTTCCCAATAATCAGAATCTAAAATACAGACTGAAGAAAACATAAATTTCATGTTTGGTTCTTTAGTAAAGTTTTTTAATAAACCTAAAATAACATTAGATGTTATAACGAAATCCAATGTAAGTAGTACTTATAATTTTTAAATTATAACACCTCCCTAGTCCCTACCTATTATATTTATATCTATGCTCATCTTTGCCCGTGCCAGTTTTTAACCTATTTTGATTTCGACCGTGTCAGTATTGAATGAAAACAAATAAGTGGAAAGTGGGTAGTCTGGCTTCGGTAGCCTAACAGTGTTGTGTTGTGTTCTGTCCCTAGCTATCTCCCAAATTAACTTTCCGAAAAACTGCCCAAATTAATAAATGACGAACAGCGTGATGTTTTCTATCAAATTTAAAAAATTAATCGATTTTCGTATTGTTATTTTTATATTTCATATAGAGTTTTTGGTATTTCTAACGCTTATAATAGTAATAATAATTGCAATACTGATATTAGTACGAGGAAAACAAATTTTGTGGTTAACGTTAACCAAATAGCAAGTTTATTTATATAATATGTGACTTACAGTGAAATTTGAAATTAATCATGAATCGCGTGGGTTGACTAATATTAGTGTAAATTCAAGTAGTGCAAATATTTTTGGAGACAGGCCCAGTAAAAAACGATATTAATTAATGTACGACTAACACGGATTTATTTGCTCTTATCGTTTGTATTCGGTGAATGAACAGGAATTTTCACTAGAAGTTTATTCAATAGCAAAATGAATGAATGGGGAAACAAATTTTTGTTACTAGTAAAATTATTCAACAAATTTAGGAGTAGTAAATAATTTTTATTTTAGTAATTTGAGGCTGAAATTTCTCACAAGCCTGCAAGCAGTATACACATAAATACGCCCTTGCATACAGTACAATAATATTATTATTATTATAATACTGTAAACAACGGTATGTTTTTTTACTGGAGGCGGCGAGACTACAACTTTGTGTTCAGTAATGTATAAAAAAACATCTATACTAGTAAATTTTACGGCGTAAACTGTAATTATTGCGTTTTAAAAAATAAATATAAAATTTGCGCATGTCATTTGTTTCGATAGAAAGGATATCAAGTATACCCACCGAAAAAAATAAAATGAGATTTTCATTCATAGATTCCAAGCGAAACGAGGAATATTCTATTGGTTGTTCTATGATATGGTTTTTTTTTCTCCCTAGGCCAATCATAATTACTCATCGGTTGGTAAGATCTTCGGTCCAAATATTTTATTTTTGTTGTATTCAGAGTTACCTTGTGTACAATTCGAAAAACCGATTGCTATACAATCAATCATTATAAGTTTACCCAGCTCCGCTTTTGATTTTCGTTTGAAATGTTTTATCGTTGCTTTCGGCACGGATATCTATAAACCAAATTAACAATTATCCTTTGTCTCGTGAAACATATTATACGTTCTCGACTTACTCCCATGTAGGACATGTGGCTTACCCATGGGACGAAGAATTTCCGTATTTTTCGTTCGAGATATTGAATTTATTTTTATTACGTATTCGACATAAAGCATCCTAATCACCCAAATTTCCGGCGACGACGACGGACGTATGAAACGGTTACCGATCACTTGGATTCCGACAACGTTTGTAATTGAAATTCGTTTGTAAATCTCCATACACGGTTTTTTTTCCTGCGAGTATACATTAACAGTGCGGTTTTATTCGATCCACCGCGAAGACCGAATCGAACTATAAAATTAACTACGTTGCAAAAATATCAGCTCTATTAATGATTGTTTATAAAGATTGAAAACGGGATTTTTATTTTATTGATCGTTTTACGAAATAAAACCGAAAAATGGGTACCGAAAAGGTATCGGTGAACGTCACCGTGGTCGGACAATTTTTCGATCCGTCAAAGCGGGACAACGGTATGATTTGGATAGGAATTGTTGTACACTTACTATGATCAAATATTAGTGTTGCATATTTTGTTCAAATAGTTATGTATAATAATTTTTTTTTTTTAAATTCCAATTTGACATTTTATTTTTAAAAAAAAAAAAACCCGAATAATTTACCGTATATTTTATTTTTATTGTTTTATCATTCATTTTAAATATTTGTACACGCTTTATATTCGTGTTATGTACTTGAAAAATCGTAGTAGTAATGCTCAATTCATTATGCAATATAATATTCTAGTTACTAGATAATCATTTTCTCACATAATGTATTGTAAATTACTGACAGGCTGTTACCTTCAAAATTAAATTTTATATAATTTCATATTTTAACAAAACTCGTAAATACCGTAATAATTACGATTTTTGCCTTTCAAAGCATGTACAACTGAACTTCGCTGCAAATCGTTTATGTTAGCAATCCCACCTTCCCAATTACCCACCTACAACAGTGGCCATTCCCGTCCCCAGTATCAGCTCTTTTTTTTTTTAAACTGTGTACAAAATTTGTCCTAGTTATCTTGCTCCAATGAAAATATAAAAATAGACCTTTTTTGTTGAATTTTGACTCTAAACTGGTTCTTTAATTTAAAAAAGATTATAAGATCTGTTAATCTTTTTTAAACAATCGTCGTTGTCATGAAAACGCGCATTGTTGAAAAAGCAATACTATTGAAGAAGCTTCGCTCAAATTCGTTTTTCGTTATTAATGATAAATCATTGCGTACCGATATAAATTTAATTCTCCTATTTATCCTATATTTCTATCTTCTCACATAAAAAACAACAGTGGATTACCGAAAATATTATTATTTAGCTATACCAAAAAGCGAATTACATATTGTTTATATAGAACACTCGTAGCTATGTGTCGAAACAAGAATTCTTGTAGAAAAGTTGTTCGCAGACAGACCAAAAAAAAAATAAACATCAAAGTAAAAGCCAATATATTGCTCGGTACATTCAAAACTCAGAATCTGAAAAGAAAATGACCATGTTTAAATAAAATATATTGCCGCGTTAAACGATTTTCGTTATAAATCAGTGTGCGGGTTGTTTTAGATTAAAACAGTTAATATAATCGTCGTGCGTGGTAATTAATATACTAACTACAACGGTATATACGTATTTGCTATTTTTTCTTCCTTATTTGTCGGCCCCTTTTGAACGTACCTTCTATACGAATCGTGTGAGTGAAAAATATCATATTATTAATATCATGGACACTCCAAACAGCTTAGCGTTGTTCACCAATCTTGCAAACGGCCGTTTCCTATATGACACCCTTGATCTGGCCACATCGACGTATTGGGCAAAGGCTCGTAACAATTTAAACCATTCTAACGGAGGGCGTCCGTTGTTTTCGATACCGAGGCATGCCTCGAGAGACATGCATTCGGCCATACACGATGACAGAGAAGCCAAATCGCTTCTACCTCCGGCAGACAACCCACAGGAATTAAGCGGAACCATGGACTTTGATGATAGTTACACGGACACGTCACCTAAACCGTCCAAACAGTCGTTGTCCCGGTGGAAACGGTTCAGAGCAATTATCCGAAATTGTTTTCGACGTGTTTTCGATTGTGGCAATCGGCAGTGACACTGAGTCAAAATGTCCCCCTCTCCCAGGGTATTTACTTAACGGTTTTCACGTGTGCAACGGCTTCCTTAATAACTGCCACCCTTTAGCGATAAAAACGCAACCCGAAAGCTCAAAATTCGACCGTAACATTACTCTACGCAAAACTGGCTCTAACGCGCCAGTTTAAAATAAACTTTGTTTTTATTCTTAACATTAAAAAACCTATAATCATTTTTTTGCCTTCTAAATTTGCACTTTTACCCATCTCCCTCTTAAACACCACGCCACTACAGGTTATGAGTGACTTAACATGTTTCATTTTTTTTTTCGAATTTATACCTATTATATGTGTTATTATTTTGTTATAAATTATATGAAATCTTATTTATGTTCATGTATGTTCAATATGACAATAAATTGTGCAATTTATTCGAAATGATTTTTCGGTCCTTTTAAATTACCTCCCCAATGAAATTTCCTTTTAGATAGAATTAATATCATTAAAAGTTGGAGCAAAATTGCTAGTAGAAAAATTGTCCACAGGAAAAAAGAAGGCTATAATATTTTCAGCTTATACTTACATTTCTTACATTTTCTCGTTTTTTTTTTTCGGTTTTTCATGTTTTTTGATAAAACTCTGTAGAAAACCGAAAAACGACCTCTTTAAATTACCCCTCTACACCGATTTATTTTCAGAAAAAATGCTACATGTAAAAATTGGAGCTAGTCCTCTGGTTGAAAAGTTGTCTACAAAAAAAAAAAAAATAATATAAATCTTTGTAAAACCGTAAGCTTGTTCGCTCCACTCAGAATCTAAAAACAAAGGAATGATATCTACTTTGCTTATAGATACTAAATAGAAAAAGTTTATATTTTTTAAATCACTATGTCTTTTGTTTCCTCTCAATTTTTCGGTTGATACTATTTTGGTTTTGTTGTCAGTGTCTTCGAATAGTATACTAAAATGATGATATATAAACTTGTGACGTGTAGAAAAAAAAAATCAATATGCAATATGTGCAATTATTTAATATTCTTTTCGGTATTTTGTCGTTTATTCTTGTTTATTAAGAAAACTATAGGTACGTATTTACTTTTACACATTTACAATAAAAAGTGTGCTGCCGAAAGTCCATCACTGAAGTCGATGATCGAAGCCAGATTTTTAGTGGAAAAGTTATTTACATAGAAAAAAAAACGGACGGACATAATTACCACAGGTGTCTTATCTTTAAATTTTTTATTCGTGTACTAATTTCTACTTAAACGCCACAAATTATTTTGTATCCATTTATATCCATTAAGATGGATTTTAACATTGAAAATAAAAACAAAAATATCTGATACTGCTGACGGATGTATTACTGTTGTAGGTCAGAAGTTGGGAAGGTTGGATAAAGATAGGAATTTTATTTATATCTGTACGTAACGATTATAAATCATTAATAATGAAAAACGAATCTGAACGGAGCTTGTTCAATAGTAATGCTTTTTCAACAATGTACGTTTTTATAGTACCAACAATTGTTTAAAAAGGCATAAAAGATTTAAATAGTAAAAACGTATTAATAACGAAAAATAAATAAAAATGGTTAGAATTGACAATCTCATTTTTAATCTATTAATTTTTTTTTAACCAGAAGAAACTGATTTTCTTCATTATCTCGAACATAAAAGAAAATTTAAAAAAAACGTCCTTTTTTAAATAACAACTAGAGCCAAAATGCATCAAAAAATTTCTCTTGTCAAATTTTGATTGGAGTAAGACTTCTAGAAACAATTTTCTACACAATATAAAAAAATCAAAAAAAGCTTAGTTATTATAAAACCATTACATGGTTTAAAGATCAAATTTCTATGAAAATCATAAATATTAAGGACTCTCAAATCATGTATACATGAATTTCGCACAGAAAATTGTTTTCGTCAGCAATGGTTTATCGTTGCTTACTTACAGATATAAATTAAATAACTTTATGTTTCCTACCTCTCAACTTTCTATCCGCAACAGTGTGGTAACTCATTAGCAGTATCGGATGTATTTTTTTATTTTTTTTCGTGTCAGTAAAAATATTTTCTACAAGAAATATTGTTTCAATCAGAACATAACAACCTCACGAGAGACCTGTTTTTTTTTTGTTGAATTTCGGAACTAGTCGATACATCATCCGTCGTCGAGTGTATGCAATTGTATTGATTATCCATGAAGTTTTGTATAACAGTCGGGAAAATCTGTAGAAAAAACGGGAGAGTTCACTGCAATAACGGTAAACTATACATTTTCGATCATTACATATAGCTGATGATGTGTTCGTTGAACGTCTGTGTGGTTACAGCGCTATTATCGCCATGCGTTGTCAAACTTGTCGGTAGCGGCGCGGTTAGTGTTCCGACAGTCACATTCAAAGGTAGACCGTCATCGTTGCAGTTCGTCTCGTAAACGGTAAAAAACCGTGTCGTGAATTATAGTTTTCTGTTTTTATTCATATTCATAATTTCACAAAGTCGACCGTTATAGATTTGTGTCACGAACGGTCTGCTCATCTGCACGCCAATGCCGTATAAGTTAACAATTCACAGGTGAGGTACTTTAAACAAGGTCATTTTATGAAATTTGTATTAATACTCGAGATAATGAGGAAAAACTGGTTCTAAAAATTTGATTACCATTGGCAACTGTTTATTTATAATTTTTTATTTTCAAGTTTTTATTATTCTAATCTTTTAATCTTTTTTAAACAATTGTTGAGACTATAGAATTATAGACACCAATTGACCACGTCTACCCCAAATTCTGCCCACATTTCATGGTTCATTACCCCTCATCTCTTTTAAGTATAAAAGGTAACTTAAAGATGTATATTTTAAGTTACGAATAAAGAGGTAAATAAATAAAAAAGGTATAGTAACTAAGTTTTAAGTAACTAAAAAATTTCTCGAGATTTTTTTAATTTTACGAGTACAAATAGACGACAGAGGCGAAGGTCAGAAGTTAAAATCTTTTAAAAGCACATCCTAGACACGGATGATAGGTTGACCTAACCTTATGTACACACATTTCAATGCTTTTACTTTGTAAGTGTATCTGGTAAATCTGGTAGTTATCGCGAAAATATGAAATTTGAGCAAAAAATTGTTTGTTTAAAAATTGAAACCCTCGAAAGGCACATTCTTGATATATTTCACATTAACCGTATTATAAGGTGTACTAAAATGTTATCCTTATGTTAATAATTCTGTTAATATTCATTTTTTTTTTTTACATTTTATTTTTTCTACCAGGTTGTTTGCGAGGAGTAACATTTTTATGTAGAAAAAAATACAATTTTTATTTCCCTTAATTATTGAAAAAAAATAAATTTATTTTACCACTTTTCAAAATTTACAAAAACAGCCATTTCGTAAAAGATATTATTCTAAAAATTTTAATCTATTATGCATGCATATTCGATAAATATTTTCTATAAATTAAAACCACTATAACTAAGTAACTTGATACGTTCATAAACGTTCGCGCTAAATTTTGGACTTCGAATACGAAAATTCAATTGAATTTTTCTACTGTCGCACTTCTGATTTCTATTGACGCGAAATAACAATTCTTTATCTGTATTAAGCTGGGTAATATAGCTAATAAAATAATATAAATTGTAATAATATTATTCAATGTACCCACCTATATAATGGCACCTATATTATTACCTAATTTGTGAAAAAAATCCGGTTTATCTCGTTTACGGTGAAGGCGGTGCAAAGGTAAACGAAACGCATAACATGCGTCAGTTCGTCCGCGATTTTTGTTTATAATTCATTCATAGTATAATTTCGGAACGTAAAATGTATCATTAGGTTATTATACAAGGTAGGTAGGTCTATACCGTGTTAAAATGTTCATATTTTGTATACGAATCGAATAAAATGCTAAAAGAATCGTATAATATCGCGCAATAACACCCGGGGATATTCTGATACACAATATAATATTTTAGGTACATATACACAGTGGCGTATACAAGAATTAATTTCGGGGGGTTATAAAGAAAGGCTTTTGGGTTTTAGTTAATACATGGATCAAATAGATTCATAATTACTCACTTACCAATCAAACATTACGAGGGTGGGGGGGGGTTGAACCCACAAAACCCTTCCTATATACGCCACTGCCTATACAAATCTATTTCGTTCGGGAACTCTGCAACAATATCGTTCAAATATTAATCAAATATTTTTTTTTTCGATACTAATATTATTCGGGTCAAAGTCACTATAATATTATTATAATTATAATATACTTGGTCATAATAACGTAGGTAGTTATAACGCGTAGTCCACGACGAGCGGCCCAAGTCGGCCGGCGGTTGAAAGAACGTAATTATTGTGAAGTTCTCTTACAAAGTGATTAAAATAATTTGCGATAACATAAAGGCCGACAGTTCAAAATTCGTACGATACCGATCGATCGTAATTTGTTTTTATCTTTTAGGAAATCGATATCGAGCGTTTAAGTAATCCGATTTTTACACGAGTAATTTATATGGTTATTGAAGCGGAAAGTGTCCCGAATAAATCGACAAAAGCGCGGCGACAGGGTGACGAAATGACCGACGTACAACATCAGGTATAAAGGCGTCTTCGGACCACGTGCATAGGTACAAACGCCGGCCACATACCTATTGTTAGTTATATTCCGTAAACGACAGAACGTGACCGGCTAACGTAAAGATGGTAAGTGATTTTTTTTTTTATCGTTATCGGTTCTAATAATATGTAACAGCAGCGAATCATTTATTTCGTATCTTTCGTTGTTTTTATTCGGAGTTTTAAGTGTAATTTTTTTTTAAGATAATACCGTAGGAGAAGTGATTAATATTGTGTATATTTTTTTTTGTAGGCATTGTAGTACCCATTTTATTATTTGTTGTACAAACCGGCCATTTTTATAATGCCATGGGTATTTCGCAGTCATGGGCGCCCGCATGAAGTTTATCAAGGAGGGACAATTTCTTAGTAAAGTTTCGAATGACCGTTTTTTTTCTTTACGTTTACACAAAAAAATTATATACACATTATATAAATTATCTAATTATTGAAATTATATTTTGAAGTCCAGGGAGGGCAGATATCCCGTCTTGTCTCTCCCCTTTGGGCACCTGTGGTTTCAAGGTCGATGAAATACGATTGTTATGAAGACGTGTACTCGCATGTGTTGTCTCCATTATCCCGACTCCAACGTAACTATATTTGTAAGATCAGTAAGGAAAAATTTGTGATGTTAGTTTTTTATATATTTGATCAATTATCAAACTTATCGATGAAGTCCACTATTTGTGGAAAAGGATAGGTTTTATTTTTAATATTTCAATTTATAAGGGCTACATGAATAAATGAAATATCACAATGTAAAATGCTTATATTTTGCTTTAAAATACCGTTAAAAAAAAAACCGTGATGTAGGTTAACAAGCGACATGCTTATCTTTAAATTTTATAACTGGTAAAAACTCTTAAAATATTAAAACTAACAGCACAAAATTGTCCCTGATATTTCACTACGTTGCCGTACGCTTTTAATACGGAGACAACGCATCCTTTTAAGTATGGGTCTTAGAGTTTAGAATGTGTGGGTATGCGGAATGCGACGATAAATTATTTTCAACAATACACATTCGGTCCATTTTCATATCATCTTTCCATATTTAATTGTTGTTGTTGTTTTTGTATAGACGATCATTTATTATTGTCCGACGTTAATATGCATACCATGTATAATACTACGTCCTTGACCCGGAGACTTTATACAACCGTTCCTGCTTAATAGGTCGTCAAGTCGTCTAGTGTAATTTTAAAACCAAATAATAACTGTAAAATATTACAGAAGAGGCGGGACAGTTCATACCAATTCATAATAATATTTCAATTTTTTTTTCATTGAATGGTAAAAATTATTTATAATTTAAATTTTATATAACTAGAAATAAAAATTAACTTCATTTAGTATAAAAACTAAACTACTTCTCTATAAAACTCCATAGATGCCTATTTAGACATACAGTATCTAACTATGGGAAGCTGCCAAAAAAATCAAATATCTACAAAATCCCTTCAATCCAAAATTCTTTGTATGATCACATATGTCCCAATGTATTGTGCGTTTTAAATCTCACTGAAGAAACTGCAAATGTACAATACAAACGTTTTCGCTCTCGACGAACAAACCATCCAAATACCTTAATTTCGGCGTTGAATTCAGACACCATTCCTGGTAATTCCCCTCGCAGGTTAAAGAAAAAATGTTGTTGGGATCATAATTTACTTCCACATAAGAGCTTATTGTAATTACTGGTTTACAGGTCGTTTGTTTTAAAATATAGTTTAAAGAAAAAAAAATTAACTTTTTATTTAATTTTTCGGTTTTAATATTAGATCGAACTGACTTAATATGAAACATTATCTGTGTCTGTGCGTTTGTTTTTTCGGAAATTTTAATTTTTTAGCGAAGTACATTCATTTTTAAATTGTAATATTTCATAAAGTCGTGTCTTGCTTAAACATTAAAATAACTAACAAAAACCAATGTGCAAACATAGAGAAATTTCTTTCCTCTAAATTTTTTAATAAGTAATTCAATATAATGTTAAAGCTAACCGCTCAAAATTGATGGGCGGTGAACGGAAATTTGATATGTCAAGCGTTTGTAAGACGAAGATAACAAATGCATGTGCAGCGTTCTATTAATAATATTGCGCATTAAAAATTTTAATTAAACCTGAAATTTCACTGTGGATATTATGGACCATATTGCACAGGTGTCACCTTTATAAACGCCACTAATTAATAACGTAAAACCCAAAATGATTGTATTTAAAATATGACTAAAGTACTAAATATCATATTAATACAATGATTTTTTTACGATGTGAGAGTATTAAAAAAATTATAAAACAATACATTCACATACCTTTTTACATAACGCGTGCAAAATTTAATCGTGTCGGGTAACGGACAACGTGATACCTGACAATATGTATACCGTACTGTTTATTTTTATTTATTTATTTTTTCTATACAAATGTTTTATTATAATAATATAAAAAAAAACCTATTCGCAGTCACATTTTTTTACAATTCAACGGCGTACCCAGGATTTTTAAATGGAAGAGGGGATATACACATTGAATTAAATTTGTATATAATAATTAAAGCAACATATATATGTAAAAAAATAAAAACATTTATTAATTAGTTGTTTATTATGTTTGTATCTATACTAGAAAACATATAATGGATAAGCTCTTTGTATTCTCTGTAACTAATATATTTAGTCAACCTCGTCTTGCAGTATAGTGTTCTATAATTTCTAATTATCCATACTTATAAAACATTAAATAATACATAAACGAGATAGACATACAATTTACATTATCTATAGGCGTCGTGAATCGATGACCAATTAATATTTTTTAAATGTCAACACCATGAATAGTTTTTATAGGCGATGGAAAAAATGATTTAGAAAAAATAATGAAAGTAGGTGTGTGTTGGTGCCTAAGTACTAGAAATACTTGTCTATTTTTTCAAAATATATTTGATTCAAAAATACCAAACACAGTACAAGAACTCAAATTGTGTTCGGCTTAATAGTTCATTATTTTTATCACGATAATATTGTGGTGTACAAATAATTGATCAGGAATTCGTGGCCTTTGATTTGGTGTGTAAAGTGCAGTCTTAAAACGCGATAAAATTAATTTTCATTCAGACTATAATAATAAAATATGATAACATGTTCAAGCCGACCTTGGTCTGCTCCCTCTAATGTTTACATTTACAATTTAATGGCATAGGGCTTTATATTATATTATTTCGATCTTTTGCATTTAAATTATTGATAATTTTAAACATGTCGTTTATTGTATACGGTAGATATTGATAATAATTAAACAAATTATGGAAAAAAAAAAAAAAAATCATAACCGATGTATAATGTAATAATAATGTATTAATAATAGTATAATGCTATTTAAAATCCAATACTTAAAATGCAATGTTTGCATATTTGTTAATATTCGTTAATATGCAAACATATGTGTTTTTTGAATGTTCTAACACCGTGGAATATCGTGAAATTATATTACTCGGATGTATCTAAATTGCACAAATATTAACAAACCGAAGCGTGATTGGAATTTATTATTGATTCAAATTAAAGAAAAAAATCATAAAATGACGTAATGATAAGATGTTAAAAATATCTATAATTATATACCTACTAAATGTTCGATTGCCGTGGAATAGATTTAAGTGACAATTAGTGTTAGTCACCATAAACCATACAACCGATGGATTATATATTTTTAAGTTTTTGTAAATAGTGGTTTATTGACATACTGCGGTACAAATGTTTATTTTTTTTTTTTTTTGAATTTCAGGCTACTACTACAATGTTTCTAAAATGGATATTTTCGTTCGTACTGATAATGGTGACGATTACGACGGTGATAGGAATAAACGGTAGGTAACTAATAAAATACATATTATCGTCAAATTTAATCCAGCGGTAAACGCAAAAAGAGTTTTGATCGTTGAAACACCTTCCAAATTAACAATTAAGCTTTAATTTGTATTTATATTTTAAATTATTTATTTATTTATTTATTCAAAACGTTACAATGATCTAATGTAATAAATATATTTTGCAAAACCCTCTAGACATTTTTTTTTATTTATTTATTTATTTAAAATTTGATTCATTTCAACCGAAATTTGCATATTATACATATTGTATAATTTAACACGTATGCAGTGAAAGTGATTAAAACATTAAATGATCAAACAAGTAATTCTCCGAGCAGGAAAGTTTTTTTGTGCCTCCGCTTTTTTTTTTTTTTTTTGTAGGTGTTTAATATTATTGATTATAATGATTATAATAGATAACTTAAATCCATAGGATGCAACCGCTATGAAGCGCTAGAATCGTTGCCAATGACCGTAACGCACACGACTTAAGTGCTTCCCAGCAACTGCATCTTACAGAGGATTGGCAAATATCAACATTAGCTATCTGTTTATTCCATGTACTCAATCAGTGGTGTATCCTAAAAATGTAGTCGGCTAAAATACACTTCTAGAGGCTCCAAATAACTAAAGACAGCCCAATTTATGTCCAAAATTATGGTTAGTGTAGGGTTTTTATTTCTGTAATGAAGTATTCATTCGGTTTGGCAACCGAAATTTACCCCAAAATGAAGCGGCCATATATTTATTATTATTTTTTTTTAAAGTCGGGCTAAGGACCTGAACTTAACATAGAGTACGGTTCCATTGTAGTTAATGATAATACATATGTAATATGTCGTTGTATGTTGCAGCGGAGACGGTCTACGATTGTTCACCCAGAAAGTTCACGTATGGAACGGTGTGCGTGTGCAACGCCACTTACTGCGATCGGACGCCGGATCCGGAAGCGTTGTCGACCGGTAGATACGTGCTGTACACGTCGTCGAACACCGGAAGCCGATTTCACCGATTCGACGGCATGTACGTGCAGTCACTCGATTCACAGTGGTCCGGTGACGAGATCAACGTAGACGAGACGACCACGTACCAGACCATGCACGGTTTTGGGGGAGCGTTTACGGATTCGGCGGGCATCAACATCATGTCGTTGAGTCCGGACGCCCAAAAAAACCTTATCAAGTACGTATACCGTTGTACTTGTGTTCGGTTCGGTTAGGCTAGATTCAGAAAGTTATTTTTTTCGTATTTATAGTAGTTTTAGATTCTGTGCGTTGCATATAACGAAAAATCTGTTCGCTTTAAAAGTATTCGGTTTTTTTTTAATCGACACTTTTACAATTATAGTAAAACATTTTTTAAATTTCCAATACTATTTTCTAAAGAAATTATTTATGTGTTTGTTTTGTTTTTATATAGGTAAGGTTATGTTAGGTTTTCACGGGGCACTTCAAAAGATACACAATTTCTGTCTAATGTGGTACTTTATTTGAAATAACATTTACTGAAATTGTTAACAGTTCATTCCCTAGATTATTCTTTTTTTTTTTTGATTTTCCGATGAGTTCTTGATTATCTTGGTAACAATGCTCAGAATCATTTTTTCGTCTGCAATGATTAATCGTTGCGTAACTCAGCCTATTTATTTTGTGTTTCTAATTACCACCAGTAGCAAGCTTTATCTAAACCGTCTACAAACGTTCGCAGGTCTTACTTCGCCGATGACGGCATCAAGTACAACATCGGGCGAGTGCCGATTGGAGGTACAGATTTCTCGACGCGAAAGTATACGTATGCTGACTCAGGAGCTCCGGACTTAAAAGACTTCGGACTAGCCATCGAAGACGAGAAATACAAGGTTAGCTGCTCGATTTTATTATTGTAAGTAAATCGTAACTCGTGCGACTCCACAATCACCGTCGGCGTGGAATGCGGTAAAAAAAAAAAATCGTTATAAAAATGGTCACTAAAAACGTCTTTAGTAAAAACGGTTTGGCTGATTTATTGACTCTTTACAAATCGGCCGTATTTTGTTTCATGAACAATAATACAGGGCGATCAATCCTCGACAAGATACTCATTATCTCGGGAAAGTATTAACATTTTTCAGATTATGAAACAAGCAATTCTAAAATGTTACATGACACCGGAATCGCATATGTCATATTCATGACAATAAATCAACATTCAAGATCTTCATAAATAGATGAAGTTTTATTTTAGGTTGTTATTTACAAATTAAAAGCGGGCAGTGGTTTCGCCCCGAAATATAAAGGTGTAATATAATATTAGTAGAGCTGTTTGTTTTAAAAATTGTCTAAAAACGAAATTCCGAAAAAAGTTAATACTGTCCGAGGTGATGAGCGTTTTTTCGAGAATCGGTCGTCTTGTATAATATAGTATCTTGTATAATTTTACATGATATCACGTGTGCGTGTGTTTATGTATCTATTTAAAATTTGTCCACACGCAGATACCATTGATAAAGACCGCCATGGAGATGTCGTCTCAAGAGGTCAAGTTGATCGGTTCGGCGTGGTCGGCTCCGCCGTGGATGAAGACCAACAACGATTACAGTGGCATTGGTTTTCTTAGGCCGTCGTTTATGGAAATGTGGGCCGAATACCATTTAAAGTGAGTGAATCATTAGTTTATCCTGTCGCAACGTTTGTAATGTATAATATTATACATTATGTACAGGGTATTCATTTGCTAATTCCATTCCGAGATGGAAATTATTCATTAGAACTTTATATAATTCATCTATCTAGTTTTACATGGGCCGATGCTGCTTGTATGCGATTTTCAATATTTAGTTAAACATATATTTACAACAATATAGCGAACAGATTTAAATTTAAAAAAAAAAAAAAAAAAAACTGTTATAACTGTAATAATTTTACACAGTGATCAATCCTCGATAAGACATTCTTTATTTTATTATGTATTAAATTATTAAGTATTAGTTTTAACGTAATTTTGTTTTGGATAATTTTAGAAACAAAGAACCCGTTATGTTACATTATTTAGAAACGAACATCAACTTTTAATTTTCAAATAGCAATCTATGTTGAAAATTACACGGACAGATGGATTTTTAGTTTAAAAATACATTTTGGTGTTGATATTTTTAACTTCCGTCAATACGCTTTTAACTTTTGGTAGGAACGAGTGGTGGAGCATTATTTATGTAGCGACTCAGCTCACGGCATTTGAATAGTGCTCTTCTACTCTTCCTCTTTCTCTTTTCCTCTTTCTCTCTCCCTATTCAAACTTAAAGGCATAATATTTAGCCAGACTGATGGAAATTAAAAATGTAAATATATATAATTATAATATAATTTTTTATGAAAATGAGCTACTCGGATAGTCTTTTTATTTTGCATTTCCCCTATCTCTCCACTTTTTCGATAGATTTTAGTGCATACCAATACGGAAACCTGAATGTGTAACTAGGTGCCTATATTATATCAGACATCGGTTTTAAATTCCGTAGGTTTTTGGACGCGTACCGGGAGAAGAACCTGAAATTTTGGGCACTCACCACGGGCAACGAACCGATCAACGGCATAGTGCCGGTGAACCGGTTCAATTCGATGGGTTGGACGCCAATGTCACACCGCGAGTGGATCGGCCGTTTTATGGGACCCCAATTGAGGGGTTCCGACTACAACGATACGCTGCTGTTAGCCATTGACGACCAGAGGATCGTGTTGCCCTGGTGGATGAAAATGGTACGAAATCGTTATCACCAGTTCATTATAAAATGTATAGTGTCATTAAGTTTTGGAAAAATTATTAGTTTCAAGACATTTCCGAGGAGATTTTCTTATACAGTTTTCGACAGCCAAAGATTTTTTTAATACAGCTTATATTGTCTTCTATAAGAAAAAAATGGAAACATGCAATAAATTTGGAACAGTTTTGTATATTATTTTAGGCAAAGACCATTTGTATGGCTTTTTTTTTTTATCAAAACAAAACTAATATAATATAAAAAGTAGGTATCGAAAAATATCAAAACGGTCATTATTTATTGGACATGTTTATTTCAAAAAATTCAATCAGTTATCACCATTAATTATATGGTTTAAACGACAACATTTCAAATTCACAACGCAACATTAAACTTAACCTGACCTTTTATAAATTTAATTTTATAGTTGACTATACAATGTGCCAATGTAGTAGTATTATTGTTAACATAGCCTGTAACCAAATCGATCTATTTTTAGAAAATCAACGTTTCAATATTATAATTTTGATCCCAAAGAAGAAGGGCTCAAGTCAATTGTGTATAAAACAAATAGGGAAAAATCACAGAGATTACGGGGTTCTGGATAATTACGTATGCAAATTTAAAAAAAAAATAAATTGACTTAGAAACCAATAATGTAATATATTATGCAGTGTATGTACAATATTAAACGGTTTCGATTATAAAGTTTCAAAAGAAATATAATACATAATCGATTTTAATAATAAATCGAAACGAAATTTGTGTGAACAGCTCATGAGCGACAAAGAGTGCGCAAAGTACATTGATGGCGTCGCAATACACTGGTATTTGGACTTTATCGTCCCGGTGAAGGTATTGAACGAGGTGCACAAAGAATTCGGCGACAAAATCATCATCAATACCGAAGCGTCGCAAGGTAACAATGATATGACATTACGGTCATGTTTGTAGCTTGAACACCAACACACCCCCTTCACTACGCCACTGTGGCATTATATATATACGCGATTATTAATAGTACCTGTACAAAAATTCGATTTATTTCTACAGGAGATAAACCGTGGGACTTTGTTAAAGTGCAATTGGGTAGCTGGACCAGAGCCGAAAACTATGTCAACGATATCATTGACGTAATTATATACACGTTTTTGTTTTAATATTAATATTAGTTCGACAAACAGTCGAAAATGTCGAGTATTTGGCCAAAACAAAAATAAAAGCAAATATTTCATTTACACAAATATGAAAATCATGTTTTGGTCAATTCTTGCATAAAACCTTACGCGTCTTGCATACGAAATTAGTATAATCAATTTAATCGGAATGTAAATTATCAGGACTTAAACCATTGGGTACAAGGCTGGGTGGAGTGGAATTTGGCTTTGGACAAGACCGGCGGCCCGACGTGGGTGTCGAATTTCATCGACTCTCCTATTATCGTCGACAAAACCGCCGACGAATTCTACAAGCAGCCGATGTTCTACGCGATCGGACATTTTTCGAAATTCATATCCAGAGGCTCCGTGCGAATAAAGTTGACCCAGTCGTCCGTCGTCAAGTCTGTGGGCTTCAAACGGCCCGACGGAGCCATAGTGATCGTACTCTATAACAGGTGATACGACGATTAAACATAATGTTTTTTTCAAATTCCGATCATTACATAAAGGGTTTTGTGTAATAACGACAGTCAGCTTCGAATTTTCGACGAATCCGTGCTTTGGTTATTTTTAAAAATAAAAATTATTTAATTATATTTAATTACCTGTGCAACGACGAGGAAAATTCCGCTTATGGAAGTTATAACAGAACTAACGAAACGCCTGAGCTACCATTGATGTACTTAATAATCGTATGACGAAAACAGTAACTATTGTAAAACTTATGTTTTATTTCATGAAAAGATTTGTAAAGTGGAGCTCTCTGCAGTTATTGCACAAAGCCTTTGAAATTGTTGATGTGTGTTTTTACGTGTATTTATTTTTTTGTTGATTCAGAAGGAACAAACCGCTTAACGTTGCCATTAAAGATCCCAAACGAGGTGTTATCGGTCTCGTTTTACAAAAACAATCCGTAAACACGTTGCTTTACTGGTGAAGACGACGCAATTATTACTAATTTTTTCATTACCTATAATTTTTATACATTATTTATTATAATTTATTTTTACTATTTTTGTTTTTTTTTTTTATTTTTATTAGTTTTATTACAATAATTTTTTTTTTACACGAATAAAATGACTTTTATATTATTGTTTTGTATTTTTTCGCCTCCAAGGTTATCTGAGGAATGTCAGAAAATGTTCGGTCAATAGAATTTTTAGTGTCTATGCTACCGCTGAACATTGAACAAGTTAATAATTAATATTTACCCAGTTAAGATAAGTCATTCTAAAATAAATCAACAAGTTAAAAATTTTCATCGAATTTAATCGATATTAATCTACTAAATTAAGTTAGTTTTTTTTTTTTTTTTTTTTTTTGTGAAACCTGGAATTTTTTAATTAAACTGGGAGCATTTTTTCGAAAATGATAAAAATCAATGTTAAACATATTATTCCGGAAATATCAAATCGTCTTTACCTATACAAATCTAAACTAAACACAAAATTAGCTTAACACGATTTAATTCAAATTCGATTAATTAATTTTTATAAAAAAGAAAATTAAACAAAAGTTCAGGTAATAAAACAATTAATTTAGCTATTAAATTTTTAACTTGTCAATGACCAGCCTGTGGAACCTATTTAATGTAATTGTATATCTGATGTAAATCTCAAAATATAAATGATGCACGAATTAATACTCGCGTGAAATTACAGTGTCTATATCAGTGGTTTTCAAACTTTTTTAATACGGCAACCGTGCGCTAGCTCTCCACAAATTTCTCACTGCACATGTGTCTCAGTTATGGATATTTTTTCATTTATTTTTTGTTTTTTTGTTAGGTAATTATTTAATTTTTATTCCAAATTAGATTAATAAAATTTCACTATATTATACATATTATATTTATTATACAATTAAATGCTAATTTTTGAAAAAATAATATATTATTGGCTATATATTTTTGACAAATTTTTAACTACTAGTATATTGCAAATATATTACCTTAAAGATATTTCCGGTTTAATTAACTCGGTTCAATCAAGTTAATAAATATTTTGTGGGAAGTATAACACTACAATATGGATCCCTGCATATGCATATTAATTCATATTCAAATTGAAGGACTCGGTGCAACAACAAAACAAATCCATTTTTCGAAATTATTTTGGGAGAAATCGAACAAACAATACGTTTGTACGGGGTAAAATACAGTTGAACCAGACAAGTGATTTACACTGTTTCCTGGATATCTATAGAAGACTATAGTGCATTACTCTTGTATTAAATTATGCAGCATTTATTGCTCAACTTGAATCCATGAAAAAGTCATTTTTGACTTTTCTTGTAGTTGCGTTGAACCCTTTAATTTTGACTAGATTTCTCGATTTTTGAAAATGTCTATAGATAACAAATATAGGTGACCAGCAGCTATAATGCAATTATTCGAGCATACGAACATTATCATGCACGCGTAAAAATGAGGAAATAAAAAAATAAACAAAATATAACGGACGAGACAGTTTTATTTGGCGATGTCAATACATGATAATATAATCGTTATTAATTAATAATTATTATTACATCATGCATTGTATGGGCTATGGCGTTTTTAAGTTTGCAATGTAACATAAGTACTACATAAGTTAACAGGTCTGAAACAAACAAAAAACAAACAAGAATTCATAAATATACACAAGGTAAGCACAATTACAAGTATACCTATATTTTGAAAATGAAACTAGAGAATTTTGCTTAATTAGCCACAAAAATGTTTAACTGACTACATAACAATATTAAGTGATGTCGATGTTTTAAATACATAATGTATGTATGTTAATTAAAAACAAAAACGTATATAATTATGGTACCTATAAAAAACCAAGTGTTTTTTACTCGGAGAAAAAATATGTTTCAAAATGAAATGTTTTCGAAACAAGTCGAAAATATAATTAATACGAAAACGAATAACAGTTTTGGATAATATTTTATAAAAAAATAAACGTTCAATGGTTTAAATGATTAAAATCACTATTGAGTTATACAGCAATTAAACGAGTGAGATATACTATAAAGAGTTAAACGCTAATACTTTAAAGAAATTCGAAAATACCGAAATTTATAATGTTATAAACATAATAAAATGTAATTGGATAGATTATAATATTAAAATAATTTATAATGCACTCACCATCAATTGGCTGGTGGCTGGGGCGGCCTTTGCGACGGTCTTGGCGACTTTGGCAGATTGGACTTGTCCGACGACGACAATGTTCATGGATACCTTTTCTGCGCCCATTTTGTTTGGATTTTTGGTTTCGTGGAGTGCGAAAATGAAAGATGCTGTGAGTACAAAGTAAAAAGATTCGTTACATAAGCGGTCGATTTGAACGACTAAATAAAATGTTTCTTAAAATGTACTCACCGAAATATACAATGTAATATTGTACAGAAAAATGCTTTATGCCTTAACGGAAACGTTTAGCGGGTATTTATACGCTTCCGACGGCCGATTAAAGTGGCTAGGTTCCGATGGCGTGATTATTGCGCGCGGAGAGCTGATTCGTCGGTCAGCGATATCACGCCATCGTCGTATTACAAAACAAGCGTTCAAAACAATAATATGTTAACTGAGAACAACAACAACAACAACAACAACAACTCGATAATTTTATTATTTGTAATAATATATTTTACGATTCTGAGCCGACAAGAAAGTCCAAAAAATTTATAAACGTACCTATTAAATACATTCCAGCATGGAACTTGACAATATATTAACACTTTAAAATAGATCAAATCTATCCGTGGTCAGTATTGAAATTAGTCCTCGAATTAGTCCTGGAATATGTTAAAATACGATAGTGTTATAGTATACCACTTTTCGTTGAATGTACAACTGTCAAAATCCGGAAATAATTTTTGGTATCAATATTTGTTTATATAGTTGGTGCATTGGAAAGGTCTTCTTTTTTTTTCACGTTTTCTATAAAAACTAAGGCTAATTTTTTCGCAAACCATTATTCGTTTGACTCTTTTGACGGTGAATTAACATTTAAAATCAAATTATTAGTTGATTATCAAATAGCATAGAGTCGTTTGACTAAGGAATATATACATTTTTCTCGATTAATTTAAATTTTTAAACTAAACATGTTACATCGGTTTTTTTAATTCGAAATAATTTATTAAACATGTTTATTAAATTTTTAAAAATTATGCAGTTTGAAGCAAATTTTCAATATGTAAGTACCTAATATAATTAAAGATGTTGAAAGTAAATTTTAAAAAACAAAAGACATAAGGTGATGATATTGCTGACAGATTAAACTCTGTACATCTTATACTTTCTATAGGTATGGTGACCAGATATAAAAAAGTACACTTTCAAATATATGTCCTCCATTATAAAAAAGAAAACTTCCTCGAAAGAATAGGTTAATGTGTATACTATTCTATTCAATCTGCCCGTAGCTCATCTCCATCTATATCTGCATACATATGTATACTCTATTATTATTTTTTCTATTCTCAACTATAATACATATAAACATGTATTATGCTCATTTTTTCAAGTAAAAAAGTGTATAATTTCATGTACTTTACACTATTGTTAAAGACATAAGACAATGCATAAAAAAAAAAAAAAAAAAAAAATACATCTGGTCACCATATCTATAGGTACTAATTTATATTAATTAAAAATAACCGACAAAAAACGTAGGAAAAACGAGAATATTTATAAAATGTATTATATCATTTTTTTTTTTTTTTTAGTCATAATTCAGTTAAAAATATTAGCAGACTTAAAATTTGGGCAAAACTTATATTTACCTTTTATAGACGTGGTAAAATTTTTAAAATATTTAAGTCATTAGTCATTTTCAAGATATTTATAGACATTTAAATTTTGCGAGTACTTAACGTAATTTGTATTCGGTAAGTACTTTGGACAAAAATATTAAACCAGAAAAAATGTTTGAACATTTTTCATGAAGTTGATTAATAGTTGTACTTGGTAATAAAAAAAAAAAAAAATCGAGCGTAATGTAGTAGTTTTAGATTCTGAACGGGCGAAGAATATATTGGTTTTAGAATGACGTTTAATTTTAATTATTTTTTCTGTGAACTACATTTTTACCACGAATTAAGAACCTTTTCTGAATGGAAATTTGAGTCGAGTGGTACTGAAGAAATCATTTTTTAATTTTCCTAGAAGTTTTTATAATTAATGGGAAAAATCGGTATAAAACGTAGAAAAAAACGGAAATATTTACGAAATGTATTATTATAAAATCGTAAATATTACGACCTTTCAAACATGTATGTAAATTAACTCTATTCAGGATCATTTTTTGTATGCAACCATATTTCGTTGAATATATATATTTATTAAAATTCATCGATGAAAAATCGTAGGGAAAACGGGAAAATTTACGAAATGTATTATATTCAAATTGTAAATATTACGGCCTTTCAAAACATGTATAACAGAACTCCGCTCAGAATCATTTTTCGTTAGCAATGATTAATCGTTACGTTCAGATACACATTAAATTTTCCCTCTGCCGCTGCAACTTCTCACTCACAATAGGGGCTCACCCATCGTGCGAAATATGTCCGCTTGTTATTTGTATTTACAATACATAGTACATATACATACATACATACATACATACATACATACATACATACATACATACATACATACATGTATTCACATATATTTTCAAAACACATTTGTATTGGGTAACGTTGTTTTCGTATAAAACACATTTATCATCAATAATGCGATCGTTGATTGTCTGACGGTTTTTCGTACCCGCATCACGCGACGCACAAAACAAATGCATGACAGTGACGTAAAATAATCACGCCACTTTGGCCGCCCGATATGTAATCTCGTCCGGCCGCCGCGATCGCGTAGTATAAATACGGATACGGGATCTCAGCACTGGCATAACACATCTTTTTGTGCGATTTTATTCATTGGTGAGTACCTGCGGTACGCACTGCGGCCAATAGTTTAATATTCTATCTGTATACCTATTATTGTTATTGTCTTTTTGCAGTCTTCACTTCGTTTCTCGAAACCAAAACAAAAACCAAAAATGGGCGCAGAAAAGGTATCCATGAACATCGTTGTCGTCGGACAGGTCCAATCCGCCAAGGTCGCCAAGATCGTCTCAAAGGCCGCCCCAGCCACCAGCCAATTGATGGTGAGTACCCAACCGACTTCTATTTGTATTTAAATAATAATGACGTGTCAAACAATCCATTCGATAGTAATGTCATTTAAATGAAATATGGACAAAATACATACCTATTCAGAATTCTAATGAGTAACGAATGTCTAGAAATGACCATAAGGTCGGCCTTGATTTTAAAAATTACAACTTTAAAATAAAAAAATTCTTACCGTGGCATTTCCTTGTGAAAACTCGGTTAATTTTATATTACCTCTTATTAGTGTCCATAATAACTAGATCGACAGAATCGGCGTCTAAATTCCCCCCCCCCCAAAAAAAAAAAAAAACCACTGAAATACAATTTAATATTTTGAAATTATTATAATAAATGAATGAATAAATCAATGTGTTTTGTAACTTGTGTAACTAAACGTCGTAGTTGAATTGATAAATCATAGTATAATATAATCACTCCGCCTATTAGACGTTTTCGAAAATTGCTAAAATAATAAATATTTTTAAGTTTACTATTATAAAACATTGGGTATACCTATGGAAAAACGAGATAATATTTACGAAACCCTAAAATGTTAAAAAAAATTTGTATTAAAAATAACACACAAGGAAATCCAAATAATTTATAACAATAAGTATAACTATATATTATTACAAAAACAATAACAATAACCATAAAATGTGCTTTACATTAATGTGTATTCGTATTTTGTTTGTTTCAGAACTGTTAATTCATATCAATATGATATAGCTCGTCAATCGTTGACTCAAAAATGCCATAGCCCTAACTATACAATGTTATTATGATAACACATTATTATAATTTCACATTGTATTGACATTTGACACTGCAAAATAAAACTTTTCCGTCTTAATTTATTACTTGTTTTTTTTTTTTTTTTAACCTGTATGATACGTATGAATTCCATTGTGTTTCACGATTATAATCACAATTATTTAAAACAATTAATCGGTAGGATTATATACCATTGAGTATGAGTAAAGTAAGTACTGAAGTTGGCATAAATTGGTCAGGGTTTCAAATATACTATAATAATGCACATTACCATTATTTCTGTCTAAAATTAAAAGTGTATCTATAAACAAAACTTGCATTTTCGCTGATTAGTGTTATCACGAGAACGAACATTTTAATATGTATGCTAATATAATATCATAAATATAAACAGCGATTTCTTGTCTTCTCGTGACCAAAAAAAAAAAAAAGTACAAAATGGATATATACCTACTTCGTTTAGTAATCTTGCGTTTCGGTGTAAAGACAAAAATGGTTTGCAAAATCTGTGTTGTTCTGTTCCAACACTATAATGTGTTTATTTTTTGCCTATAAACAACTTTTTGAACTGTAAATTTACTCCAATCGGAAAATGACAAAAGACTTTTTTTTTTTGAATTATAGATTTGAATAGTGCAATAAAAAAATCATTTTTTGATTTACAAGGGGTTTTCAAAATAATTTTGAAAAACCGAAAAAAAATGTATTGGAAATACGGACACATATTTATGGCCAATCGTAGCGTAATCGACGACCTCATATTTTTTAAATTTTACGCATTATCCATTTTTCTATTATATTTTTGGTCTATTAAGTTAGTAAGCAAAGAAGATTTTAGATTCTGAGTAGAGCGAAGAATGTGAAAAAGGAATAAAATGTTTTATAATGATGTTTGTTATTTTTTTTTTTTTATTTAAACATTTTTTCTACCACAAAGCCCACTCCAAATATTAAGTATTGTGCATATTTTCTGAAAGGAAATGTTTTCTGGTTGGTACTTTAGAAAGGTCATTTTTTTTAAATTATCATTAATATTTGAGATAATGAGAAAAATCTGGTTTTTTATGTTGAAAAAAATTGAATGATTAAAAATAAGATTGTCATTGGCAACAGTTATTTATTTAATTTTTGTAATTATTGGGTTTTTATTATTTTAATCTTTTTTTAAACAATCATTATTGTCATTGAAACGTACATTGTCGTAATCATTTTACCATATTATGAAATATATATATTGTTAAAAAACTAACACTATCAACTAAATTCTGCTCAGAATCGTTTTTTCGTTAGCAATGACTTATTGTTGCTTACAGATGTACATTAAATTCCTGTCTGTATCCTACCTTCCAAACTTCCCTTCTACAATAGTGGCTGCACCCATGTACGAAGTATATCCATCCTTTTTTTTTTTTTAATTTCTTATGTACCTAATTTTAAAGTTAATTTAGAAAATCCGAATAAGATGAAAAATAAAAAACTAACAAATTTACGACGCACAATTTTATTATTTTAAATTTGTACGACTTATGTTTTATACCATAATTAATTTAAAAAAAGAGAAGAGACCTTTTTTATTGAATTCTTAATGTAGTTGCTGACCAAGAAAGTCGTTTTTTTTTTTATCTATAGTTTTATACCTAACTTAACCTGTCTAATCTAACTTGGCTCAGAATCGTTTTTTATCGCGATGGTTTATTGTTGACTACAGATCTAATTAAATAATTATATATAATATCTTACCATCCATCTTAAAAGAGTGGCGCATCTTTCAGTAGTATCAGCTCTTATTTTATTTTTTAAAATCTGTGGTAACTTTTTCGGTTACTTAGAATCTACACAATATTTTCACAGCGTACATAAAAATATGCGGACAATTTTCAAAACAGTTTTTGTAAAACTAATTTCAAAAATCGACAACAACTGTCATTACACCAAACAAAGCCGATGCATAGCATTACGCAGAGATCCCAAATGTTGAACATAGAATTGACAACATTTTGAAGTCTGTTATTCACTTCGTCTGAAAAAAACGGAAAACGAAATACCTTATAACAATGTGACCTAGAAATAAAACACTAAAAAATGCATTTAGAACACATAACAATAAATATCAGGATAACGTAATGTCGATAGATATGTAAATGACGTATATTTTAAAAATATGACAATTAAACGCGTAACGTTTCAAGAAATATCACTCCGACTATATTATTACTATACAATAATTGTTGAAAAAATGCATAAATTAGGGAAAATAACTGCCATGACTCATAAACGATTTATTAATGATATACATTTTAAAGAATATATAATAAAATTTGTTCAAAATCGTTGTAATTGCTCGTTTGTTATTAAAGAATTTACCAACTAGAACCCACCACTGAAAGAAACATGCAGCCCTATAATTTATTGTTATTTTTGTCATCCTTAATTTTGGGAACGAACTACCTACTATTGATTTTCAAATGGCAACCTATATTAAAAATTCCATAAATACCTAGATGAAGTATTAGTTTATATACATTTTTGTGGTAGCATTTTTTATTTCCGCTAATCCGTTGTCGAGTTATTCCCTTTTTACGTTTGGGTTGGAAGAGAGTAGTGGAATATTATTTGTGTGACTGTATGGCTCGCGGCGTGTTAATGGTGCACCACTACTCTCCTCCAACTTAAACTTAACAGCGGAATACATCGCATGGTATATTCGGTCCCAGAGAAAAGAACCTAAGTCGATTTTCGGAATTTGTTCGTTGCCTTTATTTGTTTTCCCGAATCGCATAGTATTTTCAAAATTAACTTTAATGTATAATATACTGAACACTGAAATACACAATTGACATCAGCCATTATTCCTCGGAACAAAAGATACATATATTAGGTTGGTAAGTGTCATACGCGGACTGGACGCATTATATAAATAGATTAGAGTAATAGCTGTGCGTATCCTCCAGCTACTTAGCCGTGTTTACAACGCGACTAGGCACATTAAATAGGTTCTGATGATTAGACGTACAGCCGAAGTGTTTAGGCATTCGCCTAACTTTACGTTAGTGTGAAATAATCTTTGGCGTGACACGGGCGACTTCCAAGTGTTAGTGTAGATACTTACGCCTAATTCTAAACACTACGGCATAAACCTGAACGTTTCATCCAATATGTACGCGGATCTCGCAGGTTTCGCCTGTATCCTTGTGTCGTTGTTCGCAGTTCACGGCCATTACGTGCAGTCGATAATCAACATCGCGAACTTTACCGAACTTTGGTTACACGCCGAGGAGCATCTGTTAGCATTGCGGAAGTGGAACGGAACAGAAGTGGCTAACGTCATCGACTTCCGGTTGTGGACGTACAACGGCACGTTAACAGGATGCGGACTCCAATACCGCGCGGTCGGCAACGAAAGCCACGTCGGGTCCGTGTACTTCCCGAAAGTCGGGGAACACCAGTGCGGCGACGATCTGTACACGATGCGCACGACACCGCCCAACAGGGTGTACGCGGACCGAGTGCGGCTGGCCCCGGGCGAGCATCCGGTACAGATCGAACTTATCGCCGACGGGTTCGAAGACACGTACGTGGACCGTCTGTGCGTGGGATTTTCGGGCGCAGGTTACCGGCCCCGGGCGTTTTGCGTCGACAACGAACTGTTGAGGGCGTGCAAGCAGCTGACCGACAATTGGAAAGCCATCGACCTGGACAGGACGTCCGTGCTACTAAACCAAAAGACGAGAGGCACGGAGAAGATGATATTCCGGGACGTGGAATCGCTGGCCGCAGGACTGGAAAGACTAGCCCGGAACCGGAACGATGGCGAAACGAGATGGGCCGTGTGCGGCCGGATAGATTTGATCAGAGGCACTGTGAACGACGAACTCGCTAACCATCACTGTATCGCTGAAAAATCCAATATCCGGTACCACATGTCAAACTACATGGTACCGTACAGCACTTCCGAAATCAAAACCGAAAGTAAGGATCCGAATAAATGTTTTCCTGTGGTCTAACCGCAATATTCGATATTGTAAAACTACTAATCAGTTATTAATCTATACAAAAAGTGCACCAGCCGGCCTAATTTCAGTTCAAAGAACACGTAAGTTTAGATATTTGTTCGTTACAATTAATGTGCATATCATTATATCATTACCTATCTTATATTATGTTTTACCGAAACTCGTATGCCTTTATGATATTCGTATCTGTATTATTTTAAAGTGTTTAAGTAAATTGGTAGATAAAAAATAGTGGTTTGTAATATTGTACGATTTTTAAAGCTTGTTTACTTAATTTAAATTATAATAATACCTACTTCAGACCAAGATTTTGTATAATTTTCGTTTAAATTTATTTTTATTCACAAACTCAAAAATGCAATAGACCAACCAACACAATAATATTTAAAATATTCAATTATTGTATTTCTGGATATAAAAATAACGTAAATGTTAAAATAAAAACACAAGACATTTTACACACATAAAGTTTGATTTATTTTTAACTAAATATAATATTATATATTATTATGTACACAATAATTATTGATATAAGAACAAAAAAAATTCAAACAATTTTTTTTTTTTTTTTTGTTGGTATTTTTGCACAGCGGCTAAATATTATAATATTATATTTTTGAAGGATTAGAAAAAAATAATACATATATAATATATAATATTTATTTAAGTATAATATAATTAAATATATAATATATTATATTAAAAATATTGAATTAGGTAATACAATGTTCATACAATAATAATAAGCTTTTGCAATGATAACTATGATCAATTTATACGTATTGTAGTACTCCTCGACTGTTTACACGTATACATAACATTCCAAAAAATTAGAAGACATTCTCTCTCTCTCTTTCTTTCTCTCTTTCTCTCTCTCTCACTCTCTCTTTATTTCTATATATATTAAACGTGTATGAAAGTTATTTAGGAAAAAAAAAAATAAAAAATACAATAATTATTTGGCAAGAAACCGAGACGAAACATATCTACATTTAAAATATCATGGAAGATGAAAATTTGACACGTAACTGACACTTGAGCAAATATTATTATAATAATAATTATACGTGTGTAAACCGTATAACATTTGGCATTATAATATTATTTTTTAATGTGAACGAAGTGTGGTTGGGGATGATTTCCGGAAAGAATTATCAAGTTACAATAATCTACGTACAGTTTTGTGTTCATAAAATATTACCATTGTGCCGGTGAAATGCGATTATATCTCAGCCGTTAAATTATATAAATCATACAAAGATATATTTATTTTATGCACGTGAAATCCACCGATTCGAAAATTATACAATATTTATTGGACAACGTTCCATATTAGGGACCATAAGTGGAGATTAAATTTTTTTTTTCTTGGGAGAGGGAAGAATGGGCTAGATGACAGAAGAATCCTAATGAATACATTGAATGAATGAATGTATTACATTAGGGTTTTGGATGATCTTGAGAGGGTTAGACACCCTTAGACCCCCCGCCTATGATAAGAAGCGTCACTTACAATATTATAATAACTTCCAAATCATATTTTATTACAAATATTTTTTTAACATATTAGACCGAAACCCTAAACCGATATTTGTTGAACCGGACAGAATAGAAAAAAAAAATATACAAATTATATACCTATCTATTATGTATATTTATCTACATAGTATAACGTGCGCTCGTGCGTCTCGATGGTAGCCGAGAAAATAATATTATTGACAAAAAAAAAAAAAAAAAAATATATATATATATATATATAAATAATATTAATAATAATAACGAAGGAAGGTCTTATAATCGTGGTTGTTGTGTAATATTTAAAAAACACACACGAATAATTTATATATAGCACCGAGGACGTGGAATCAGATTTAGCGTGAAGTATGTATATTATTATATTATAATTTTATACGACGGCGCATTTCCGGAATAAGTCGGGCGTAATAATAAGACGAGTTTAAAAAATATACTTTCGAAATGAATATAATATACATATAACAAATCAAAAACGACAATATAACACGTGTAACTCTCTCGTAATAATAAGGGTTGTTTTTTCTTTCCTTTTTTTTCTTTAACAATAATATAATATTATTACAAGACGCATTTTAAACTATATATAGTATAATAATAACTTAAATAAGTAACAAATGTAAATTTTAATACAATTATTATTATTATATTTATGTATATTTTTTAATTTGTACCTATTATTATCATATAAGTAATCGAACCTTTTTTTTTGTGCTTTTTGTTAGTTTTTTTTTATATATATTATTCGCTATATTATATAGGTATATTATTATACATAATACACAAGAAAAAACAGTATAAACAAAGACTAGAAATAGGAACCCTATTATAGAAATGAAAAAAAAAAAAACCTTTAGGAGTTGTATTTTGTATCGGGGGAAATCGTTCGCTGTCGTCGTCATCGTCGTCAATAAACGAGATACATGCGAATTATTATACTCAACAAGTACTATACAAACGTAATATTATGTATATATTATTTTTTTACTATTTTTATGACACGACGTTTAGATAGTTAAATCGTTTGATTAACAAAAAAGTACAACTATAACAATTAGTATTACGAATTATTTATACGAATATACAGTGGCATGTCGAAAATGTTTTTTTTTCCTTTTTGTGCGAGGTCCAGCAGTGAATTTTCTTCGTACTTAAGTACGTAACCACTCCTACTTTAGCCCCTCTCACGACCACTTGAGTAATACAATCTGTTAGCATTAAACTCTTCGTACTCGTTTTATCTTCGGTTGTCTTCGCTTCTATATGATTCATAAGTCGTACACCTCTGTCTACTCCCCGATCGCTAATCGCCGATTTCAACCAAGGTACAGACCCCAAGAAAAAAAATACGAGTCTTCGTCAGGCCGCTGTAGTATGGATATAATTTATACGTTGTTTGAGTTTATGCTCTTCACAAAAAAAAAAAGAAAAAAGAAGACCAATCGCATATCACTAACATTTAAAAAAAAAACTACACAATATTTATGATGAAAAAAAAAAAAGTTAAATAGTTCAACGAATCATAGTAATTAAATAATAATTATAATAATAATACGTATATGTATTTAGTAATTGATAAGAAAAGATCAAAATTGAAATAATTATTTAAGAATATATCACAGTAAAAACAGTATTATTATTATTATTTTTTTTTATTCGTTTTTCAACGTTTATCATCAACACGTATTTTTTTTATGTGTGTATTTTTATCAGGAAAAAGAATTTTTTTTTTTAAATTTCAAATAGAGAAAAAAACCTATTTATTTAATATATTATTTTGAAATAAAACAATTCAAAAGCATTAGAGCGCACGTATTGATTTGATTTGATTGAAGCTTACCTATTATTATTATTATTATTATTATTATTTGTTTAATTTAATAAAAGACGAAATTTATTAGAAATTTAAAATTAAAGACAAAAAAAAAAAAAATAGAAAGAGAAGTCCAAATATATATATAATATGATGCGACTGTTGTATATATTATATTTTATAGTTAAAATTCCGGCAAGATTCCGGTTTTGCATTTTCACGCATTGCAAATAGCCTTTTTTTTATTACTGCACAGCGTGATTACACTGTAACAACCGAACAATGGACGGATCGCTTTTGGCACCTTCGATGAACTCTTCCAATGACAGACGGCCGTCGTTGTTCTTGTCCATCTGTCTGAATATCTTGTCCGTCCTTTTCTCCGGCGTCGATTCGTCCTCCGGCATTTTCATCACGGTACCGACCATCTTATAAATAGCCTGCACAATATAATTTGACATAAAATTGATTTATTTAAAATATAAAATATAGCTTATCAAAAAAAAAAAAACACATTGTAGAAGATATTATTATTATGAAGAGACTCGAGTGAGCAGGACATATGTAGCATAAAGAGGAATTGGTATTGAAAGCGGTATTAGGAAATGCATCACAAAGGAAAATACTGCTTGAAGGCAGATATAAGATGGGAAGATAGGATGAAGAAAGCTGAAGGAAAACGAAACACAAAAGTGAAATGGAAGAAAGTAGCATTAGATAAGGACGAAATATGATATTGAAATATGACGGGTTAACTTGTGCGCCAACCACATATACTCTGTAGTGCCACAGGTGCAATATAGGTTGTTATTTAAAAATCAAAAATAGGTAGTAGTTTCATCCACAAAAACAAGGGTGAGCAAAATAAAGATATTGTAACATTTTAGAATACAGTAGATTCCGGTTAATGTGGGCACGTCAGGAGCAGCTATGGGCAACTGCCATTTAACCGAAATGAATATCGTCATACATTAGAATCGGGACTAGACCATTATGCCAATATTAGGCGGCTGCTCACAATAACCGGTGATCACATTAAACGGAATCCACTGAATATACATTCATAGTTCGTTTTTGACAAAATATGCATTTCAGGAAAATTTGACTGTATCATGAAACTTTGAAGACCCCGTATAAATAAAGTACCCGAAATTTCCACGGATTTTACGAGTTTGACCACTCCGAAATATGATCTTCCCAATGCACCATAAATCTCTCCCTTGGTCGATGAGTGCGGAACAAGATTTCTAGCCGAATAGTTGTCCACAAAAGAGAAAAAACATCGCATGGATTATTAGTAAAACTAGAGGTCTAGATTTAAACGTAAATTAATACATACGTGAACACGGAGTTTGTGTACACGTGAATTTAATATCCATGGTCACGTGTCTTAGACTTTTAGTGTTATTTACGTAAAACTAATAGCAGATTTCCCACTATACTCAGAATGTAAAATTATTACACCATCGATTAATAAATGTTTACCGTTACGATTTCCAACATTTCTTGCCGGGAGATGAATCCGTTGCCGTCCAGGTCGTACATGCTGAAAGCCCATTTTAATTTCTGTTCCAATTTACCGCGCGACGTCACTGACAGAGCGCACAGAAATTCCCTAAAGTCAATCGTACCGTCACTGTTGGCGTCGAACGTCCGGAACACGTGCTCTGCAAACTATATAATAACGTTCGAGTTGATTATTTGCAATCATATTTTATTATATATATATATATATGATTATCAGGTAGGTAAGCTATACTTTGGACGCGTCACCGTAGGGAAAGAAGTTTCCGTAGATTTTCTTGAACTCCTCGACGCTCAAATGACCGCCCGGACAGTCCTTCAGGAAACCTTTATACCATTCTTGAATCTCAGCGTCTGAAATTAATGAAAGGTCAGTACCTGTTTGGTCATATACGGTCGTTGTATATACGATTTATAATTATCAGTAAGATTTTACCGGAGAATTCGGTGTTCTGTCTCAGGTCCTCTAAGACCTCGGGCTTTAACTTGCTGTTCTGTTTTCCCATTGTTTTTATTCTAATACTATCTAAGGCGTGTGCAGACAAGTACCATTAAACTTTCATATTCTCATAATATCTGTTGAGTGATAATAATACAGTAAGATTATTATTATTATTATTATTGTTGTTGTTCGCAAATAATATCCGGATCGATTGACATACAAGTCATAGGTACTTAAGTAGGTACCCATGTACGTATTTGTCAAAACCATAGAAAAATAAATAAATAAAAACAATAGGTATCGCGTGATGTCCGCAGAGATAAACACACATATGCTTTTCGATGATTTTCTCATAAGTATAATAATAAATTATAATATATTAAAGAAAACACAAATGTTTTTTTTTTCGAGATGTCAGAATGGAATTAAATTTAGTTTTTTTTTTTTGATTTATCATATTAAAATCTGTTAACCGTAAATTATTACACACAGCGCTCAGAGCAGAAAAGAAACGTAAAGGAAACATTTCCTGAGTAATACTTACTTAAGAACTATATGTATATAGATATAAATATTTAATTGTAATTTTGTTTTTACTAATCTATTTAAACTTAGCATAGGTACTTAAAATTTTAAAATATAGCAAAAAAAATGATCTTTGCCACGTATTCAATTTTAGTTTACAATAATATGATGATGTGCAGAAAATCGTAGGTATTTTGTATAAAAAAAAAAAAAAACGAAAAATAAGACATTAACTATAATAGATAATAAATATTATTAAAATAAGTTGGTCTGTTCCGTGTATATAGTACCTATATAATTATCAATAACTCATCTAAAATTATTATTAATTATCGTCACTAAATTAATAAATACTATTGTATTAATATATTCTAATAAAATTAAAAAAATGTACAAGTACTATTCTGTGTACGTAAAATATTATAAATATGAATTAATATTATATTATTGTATTTTTTTTTTTTTCAATTCATATACAATATATTATATACACATACATAATACAAAAGTAATGAAAAAGTTTCTTTGGATTTTCGTAAATAACTATTATAAATATATAATAATTACTTATGTATAATGTAAGGAAAGCACTCGACACGGATTTTTCACACTATGTGTATTTAAAATAGAATAATCATAATCTCGTCTATATAATGTAATAAATAATCGTAATAATAATAATAATAATAATAATAATGGATTATACAAATTGGTGTATAGAAAAATTATCAATTATAATATATTATAGATAATACATGATTAATTGTTATTAACCCTAAGTTTTATAAATATAAAAAAAAAAAAAATTGTTATAATATTATTACCTTTTCTAAATTATACATATTATATATTATATATTATAATATATAATAATAATAAATAATGTACGCGCGTAATATTAATAATATAATAATATATTGTGAACGAGAAATAAAAAATATTAAATTATCGTGACGTAGAATAAAATAATAATAATAATTATAATTATTAAGAAATGGCTACAAAAATATTATTATACTCGAATTCTCTATAATTATACTTATTACATTACAGGTATCTAGTAATATTATAAATTTTTTTTTCCGTCAAATATATTGTTATCAATTGTTTTTTGTTTTTTTTGTTTTTTTTTAAAGAACAATAATATTTAAAAGATATGTCGAGACGAAATGGATAAAAACAAAAAAAAAAAAAAAAAAAACAAAACGAACAAAAATGAAAATCGAAGAAAACGCGCAAAAAAGCCTCAAGTTAAGTATGTTCATAATAATATATTAAGAGGAAAAAAACTTAACAAAGCGTTTCGAAAAAGGTACTTACAATCGCGTAATATTATTAATATTTTTCGTTTATACTTTTTTTCTTAGAAAAATTAATAAAATTATTAATAATACCAAATACCACGTAACTGGATGGTATATAATATTATTTTTTTTTTTGGCCGTAAACTATAACATAATATAATACATACGTCATGTTATAATAATAATAATAATAATAATAATAATATGGTATAAAATAAACAAAATATAGTCACAGGTATAATAATAATAATAGACAAAAAAAAAAAAAAAAACCAATAATAATAATATAAATATAAAAAGTTGAAACATATTTCGATAATTTTTTTTTTTTTTTTTTGGTAACAGATACACTTTGGTTGCGTATTATTGCTAATGGAATCCTGCAACAGTATAAGTAAGTAATAATAATAATAATAATAATATGTGCACCATCGACGAACGAAAAAACGAAAAACAAAAAGAAAAAATAGATTAGAAATTAAGTTATAAATTAATAAAAATTAACGTGATTAGATCATAATAATATAATATAAATATATAATATTGGTCCAAGAAAATGTATTTATTGTAATAATAATAATAATAATAATATCTTAAAATAATATTGTAGTAATAATTACAAGCGGTTTTTTTTTTTTTGTTTTTTTTTTATAATTCATAAAGGTACGAACTAATAATATAGCCAAAAGTATAAATAAATAATCGATAATATCATAAAAAAAAAAAAAAAACTCATACTATTATAATAATATTTATAACCTATATTATTATAATGTGTGTGCGATTTTCATTATAAATTAATAATTATATTTTGATTTTTGAACAGAAAGTTCCCGATAGAGAGAGACTAATATTATAAGAGCAAAATTTAAGAGAGCGACCGAATCGGCAGTATATGCTACGGATAGTCGCCGTGTTTAGTGAAACGTGTTTAATATATACATTAAAACTGGAATAAAACGAATATAAATCCGTGGTCCACGTAGAAAATTTGGCTTAGCACTCATATAGTAGACTTATACGTCTAGACGGATCGTATTGGAATTATAGGGCCATGACAAACGGATTGATAGAGTGACAGATAACACCGAAAAACATAGGTGCAAATAGGGGAGTTTTTGGGGCTTGATACTACATAATATTGATAATGTCTAATCAGTGTTTACTTGATAAGGACTTGATTTGGGGGACTTGGCTAAATGATTAGTGGGGTCTAAGTTCTTCAGGCCTATTTGGCCCCTTTCCGATTTTCTGACGAGTATATACGATGAGGTGTGAGAGAGAACACCTCAGGTCACGAGTCGCGATAGTCCACGTTCAGTACTCGCGAAGAGCCGCACTCTTTCACGCGTTATCGTAATATTATACTGCGGATTCCGTCCAATGTAGCCACCGGTTAACGCGAATGGTCGTTTTATATGGTCATAATTGTCTGGTCCCGATTCTAATGTATAACGATGCTCTTTGCTCGGTTATAACGGACAACCGCTTATCGTGGAAAAAATGTAACTGGCCCCAACGTGCCCACATCAAACGTAATCAACTGTACACACCGAATAATCCGTCCAGACGTATCACGGATATTGGACAATAAACCAGATTGCTAACCACGATGCGTAGACAATGATAAATAGATAGATAAGCGATAGATATTCAGCGATTATCACGAATTTTCGGTTGTTATTAGCAGTCACGATAATACGGAGTTACGACCGACACGTCGGTATTTTGGCGTCGGCTGTAATCACCGGTTAGAAATCTAGTTCTACTATCAACATCTATACAATGCGGCGACGTATAAAATATCTATCCGCGCGTTCCTCATTTAGACACGATGGGTCAATCAGATAATACGGAAATACGACGTATTTCGATGTTCCCCAAAAATTATACACCGCCCGATTGTCAATCCGATCGTGTTTCTCAGCGGTCCACTGGATTGAAAACGATCGGTTGTTTTTAATGAGGAACGCACAGCAGGTATATTATGGTTACACTAAACATGGTGCCGTACACCAGTGCAGTGACTCTTTTGATAACATGTCGACCAATATAAAAGTTTATCGCCGAGTTGGCCATCGATCTCTTATGTTTTCCTCTTCTATTAGTCCGTCTAGATACGGATCAGTTTTTTTTTTTTTTTTTTTTTTTTTTCATTGGCCTTTTCTTACAGCCAATATTATTATACCGTAACGCAATAGAACGCTTTATCAAAGTTTATAATATATAAACACAACGGAGAAAAAAAAACGCTCCTGAAAAACGGCTTCTGCTTTTGTTTTCTTCAAATCCGATGTGAATGTATATTACAATCACGTTTTGTGTATTCTATTGGTTTTTTTTTTCTTTTTGAGCTTAAACTTTGCACTGATTGAAATGAAAAAAAACGCAATAAATTGAGGACGTTAACAGAGCGTGTTCAGTCTCCGTTTTTTTTTTTTTTTTTTTAAATGTTTTTTTTAATGAAAAAAAAAAA